TGTCACTGTATAATATATGGAGGCTTTTCCAGCAACTGAACTAATTATGACTACTGGGGACCTGGCACTAGTATTAGGCTTTTTATTGCAACCTGGGAGAATAGGTCTACATCACGGAAAAATTGAGAGTTGAAAAAGCTGCAGAACAGGCGTATTTAATATTTCATTTTATTTTATCTTTACCCTCTGTACACCTTTCCTTTGCATTTGCAAAGACCAGTTTGAAGCAAAATTAAGGTTCTTCTACGTACAACCGGATTGCTTTGACATGTTTCAATGCTTCGAATAGAAAAATGCCGAATGGATAAAGTCATTCGCGGTTTTTTATGTGTTCGAATGCAAATTAAGAGAGTGTCTCTGTAAGAGCGGTCCGGTCGATTTTGCTTGAGACACGGATTTCGCTCGTTTCTCGTGTGTTGTAAGACATTCATGTACCTATACTAAAACCACAATCAGTTTGATCGGATCTCTTTATTTTTCAGAGTTTTACGGAAATTAAATTTCACTCGAGCGAAGGCTCGTCGTGACACTTTTCAAGACTTTAATTTCATACAACTTTGGAGGACAATTTACAAAAAACTACGGAACTCGGCAAAAAACAAATACCACATCCATGTATATTAACTCTATCTTATCTATCGAGGCGACTTTCGTAAACATCACGTGTCAATCAAGGAAACAGGAAGACTTGAATGACACTTTATCGGTTCGCCTAAATCAAACACGCCAAAACCGATCAAATTCAAGGTTAATTTTTGAAAAAGTGAGGCGTTCTTTACTGATCCAACTAACATAGCTAGGAAGTAGGTGCCATAGAAAAGATAACTACAGAAAAAAACTTTGCGGCCCGACCTTTACGAGAACTTTATAACTCCGTGAACTTACCTAATTTTCGGCAATCTCCAAGTTTGGCCGCCATTTTGAGGGACTTGTCAACATGAAGCGTAACCGATATAAATCAAGCGGGTAAATCTAAAACCGTCAGAAATACATACGAAAGCAATTCAAATGAACTTTACTTTCAATTCAAGCGGCAAAATTTGAAATTGTTCGTTAAACTTACAATCCTCATACGACCATTTCTTTCAACAATTCAAACACTACAACTAGTGTTCGAATTCCCCTCGTCGATTTCACCGCAAGAAATAACCTGTGCCACCCAAGCTTCGACTCGAATATGAAGTACGAATCAAGTAACATAACTGCTTCATCTTCGCGGCAATATCACGCTGGTATTTTGATTTTCCGATCGACAAGAACGGTGATCAGGAATCGATCGGTTTGTTTACCTCGTAAACGTGACCGCTGACCAGCCGCTAAGTGAAAACAGCATAGCGCGGGGTGGGGTGGTTGGCGGGCTTATCGTCATAAGATATTCGAATGCATGCTCAAAAAGCTTTAGGACTATCAGTCTAAACAGCGAAGGCATGCTTCGAGGTAAAGACAATTTTTATTTTATTCTCATAACTTTCTCCTTTAAATTAGAACTGGTATTAATTAATAGAGTTATCAATATATTTTTAACCGGGTACCCATATAACCTTTTTGCTTGTCATCAGTGGTATAAAATAAAATGTCTTTTCCAACAGAACCTTTTATTTATGCCCCATTGCACGGAAGGAACACTATACTTAGAATGTTTCCAAGAATGTATGCAAAGTGATAGAGATTTGATTCATTCCGCTGACACGTTCTTTTAAGTTATGGCGCGTGCAGGTTTTTTCTATCAAAAGTCGCGCGTGCAACACACCGGAATTGAAAATTCGTCGTAAAATCGCACGAACCTTAGAATGAGTTTAGGCAACTTTGACTTCTGGCGAGATTAAGAGGATGGTTCAAAGGACCCCTTGAAATTTTTTTCAGGAATATAACTGAGATTTGTTAATAACAATGATAATCGTCATCATTAGCGGACGGTGCTTTTTGCCCATTGTTGTCATCATTGTCGTTATCACGCCGGAAGAAGTATAAAGCCGGCATGTCGCCTTACCTAGCTACACAGAAAATTGTTCTCTCTTTTGCTCCCCTTGGATCCTGGAAACTGTTACTATTAAGACGATCAACAAGAAAGCCTTTATAATTATTGAAACTTTTGATTAACAGAATGTAGGAAAAAATCGGTGGGGAGAGTTTTTCGCGTATCTTGTAATCTGAACGATAGTTTTAAATAAAACAAACAACAATTCATTCAATTTACCTTAGTTGTCTCGTGTTTAAAAGTGGCGTTTCTGGGGACCGTAGATTCTTCTCTGATTCTTCTTGTCTCAGCCAAGACTCACTATCATCAACTTTTTTCTTGTGCTTCTTACGGCAAGGGACACAGTGAGCTGAGGTAAGCGATTGCAAATTTTTCAGTTAAAGTAAAGCCCAGTAGCATCCATCAAGAATTAAAAACCGACATGCACTGTTTACTTTTATTATTCTTAATCAAATAAGGGGTGTTTTAGTCTGCAAATTTAATCATATCGGTTAATGAGAATCATACAAACTGAGGAAAACTGACGGAAATAATTGTCAACCGTACGCATGAGTAAGTAGATTGCGTTGTCAGGTGATTTGATCTTCTACAAAAACATTATTGATTATCAACCGAGCAACTTTGTACATATTTCCATCTGTGATGAAAAGCACTTACATATAGATCTATTTTTTTTCAACGTGATGTGTACTTAAGTACCCTTCATCTAATAAAGAATTTCTTCTCTTTTCGAGCAGATATGTCCCGTGACAAAAATAGATAACAGAAAATGTTACTGAAGACCACCTGATTCAACTGGAATATTAACTCCAAACAGCTTTTGAGCGTCCTGAGACATATGCAAGGTAATTACATCTCTGCCTTGGATACGCTTCCTGACACCATCATGATCAGGATACTGACGTGTTACCTTTGCACTTCTCCAAAACTTCCCCAGAGTGTAGCGATGCCTATAGCAAATCCACATTTTTTTGTTTATCCTCCTGAGCGAGGTGAAATAGGCCAATCCTTGCCAAGATTAGCTCATTTTCACTTAAAAACCTCTTTAGACAGGTGGCAGCTTATCAAATGATGTTTTACTTCGTCATTGCATTCAGACAGTCGTACCAAACCACTTAGGCCACACGATGAACCAAATTTTTTTCCATCTTTGCTATTCAAAAAGCAGTCCTAAGACATAATGAACGTCTCGCTTGTGAACGACTTCTTCCTGTACTTGTAATTGTTTCCAACGCGATACAAGTTCGGGAGATCTAAAGGAACTCATTATAACTTTGTATATTCGATACGATTTCAATTTCCGCGTCAAAGGAGAAGCCTACTGTAATTCGTGAGTGGTCAGTGGTTACGCTCGTGAGGTAAAGAATGGGTTTATGACTTTCTCACTCAATTGAAAGACTCGCGTCACTCTTATGAAATGGTTGAACGGAATACAGACTTCGAGTAGTCTCTTATTTTTCTTAAAGATAGTGAGGTCACGCGTATCCTGTGAGCATGGTGAATCCACGAGACGCGAGACTCGTATCTCGCGTCTTCGCCGCTCCACGCTCTCAGAGTTGGGCAAAAACAAGACACGTTATTTCCGGTGCGATACAAGAGGTTCAATGGTTATCTCGATTATCTAAACACATTTATTTACGTGGTAAAGATTTGTTTTTAAATCTATGAACTGATGCTAGTCCTATTTGTAACGAAATGTATTTGAAATAAAAAAGAATACTAAATAAAACAAAAGTTGTCTGCAACACAAAGTATGCCTTCGCATTAAGACTGAGAATCCTAATGTTTATAGAATGTTCCCAAAAACCTTCTGATAATCTGCCCGCATCCACCCCTCACCCCGCCCCTCGCCACTGAACCGTACTGTTTTCACTCAGCAGCTGGTCAGCGGTCACGTTTACGAGGTAAACAAACCGATCGATTCTTGATCACCGTTCTTGTCGATCGGAAAATCAAAATACCAGCGTGATATTGCCGCAAAGATGAAGCAGTTATGTTATTTGATTCGTACTTCACATTCGAGTCGAAGCTTGGGTGGCACAGGTTATTTCTTGCGGTGGAATCGACGAGGGGAATTCAGAAAGTTGTAGTGTTTGTATTGTTGGAATAAATGGTCGCATGGGGATGGTAAGTTTAACAAACAATTTCAAATTTTGCCGCTTGAATTGAAAGTAAAGTTCATTTGAATTGCTTTCTTATATATTTCTGACGGTTTTAGATATACCTGCTTGATTTATATCGGTTACGCTTCATGTTGACAAGTCCCTCAAAATGGCGGCCAAACTTGGAGATTGCCGAAAATTAGGTAAGTTCACGGAGTTATAAAGTTCTCGTAAAGGTCGGGCCGCAAAGTTTTTTTCTGTAGTTATCTTTTCTATGGCACCTACTTCCTAGCTATGTTAGTTGGATCAGTAAAGAACGCCTCACTTTTTCAAAAATTAACCTTGAATTTGATCGGTTTTGGCGTGTTTGATTTAGGCGAACCGATAAGGTGTCATTCAAGTCTTCCTGTTCCTTGATTGACACGTGATGTTTACGAAAGTCGCCTCGATAGATAAGATAGAGTTAATATAAATGGCTGTGGTATTTGTTTTTTGCTGAGTTCCGCAGTTTTTTATAAATTGTCCTCCAAAGTTGTATGAAATTAAAGTCTTGAAAAGTGTCACGACAAGCCTTCGCTCGAGTGAAATTTAATTTCCGTAAAACTCTGAAAAATAAAGAGATCCGATCAAACTGATTGTGGTTTTAGTATAGGTACATGAATGTCTTACAACACACGAGAAACGAGCGAAATCCGTGTCTCAAGCAAAATCGACCGGACCGCTCTTACAGAGACACTCTCTTAAGGTTGACTCACTGTGTTCTTTACATTAATCAGTTTCGAGATTTCCAACTATGAATCGAAAGTAGGAAAATATTTGGATATAATTCATAAGCTTAACTTAAGCGTATGATTTTTAATATTATTATAATAAATTGATCATTGCAACTGATCCCTTTACCACAGGACATAATATCAGAAGCTCTACCATACAATAGAACCGGTGTTTGCATTTTCAACTTAGCAACCGAACATCTTGCGGGATATCGAGATATAGGCATCGCGGAAGTCTCGAATTCTTGCGCTGTAAACAACAAAGTTCATAGCAGAGTTAGAGAGAGCCAAAGATCTAATCCACATGTATGCTGGACCATACTTTTCAACCAGAGATTTTCCTGTGATGAAAAAAACAGCAATCAACGGAAACCAGGTGACAGAAAACAAAATGATCACAATTGCCAGTGTTAGTGCAACACGCCTTTCGACTTTCAAATTGACATCAATAGATGATTGCGCTCCCAGACGGCCCTTTCGTTTCCTTCCCCTGACCAAAGTAAGCAATATCAACAGGTAACAAACGAACATGAGGAAATAACCAACGGCAAACATTACTGCAGCTAAGTAATAAGTTTTTTTCGGGAAGAGCTGTCGAACTATGGCGAATGCAAAAGCGACAACCCACACTGTTGCCAGCATGATTTTTAAGCCGTAGTTCTTCATGATCCGACCATGACGAAGAGGGAAGGTGACAGCTAAGAAGCGGTCCATACTGATTGCCACAAGATGCATAAGCGACGAGGAACAGCAAAGGTTGGCTAAAAGTGAGTAACCGAGTTCAAGACTAGGCGCACACTCGTGTAGAAAGGTTATTTTACCGACCATTGCCACGACCAAAGGCTCGCAGATCACTGTTATGATCAAGTCAGCAATGGCCAAACTAAGCAATGGGATATTCGAGCATCGGCGAAGACGAGGCTTGGTGAGTACCGCTATGCAGACAAGAAAATTACCAAACGTACCTAACAGGGCAATCAGCGTGTTAACTACCATTATAGCACTGCCATGGTATAGGGACAGGCAACAAACTTCAGCGCTAGGGATTGATGGATTAACTTTGATCACCGAAGAGTTGTTCATAGTTTTGCCTGAAAGAAGACTAGGACTTCGACTTGCACGTTCGATAAATGGACTCAAAGGAGAAAACAAACACGGTAATAGCGCGAGCCTGCAATGCTCATTGGCTTACTGAATAGCATTTATAGAATGCCTAAAACTAATTTCTGTTTCGAAAATATGACGGTCCTATTTCCTCTCAAAAATCTAACTTCTTTTTTTTTTTTTAATCATTGGTCGTCTCCCTTTCGCGTATTCTTTTTTGTGCGTTTGTTATATGTTAACAAATCATTTGGGTGTAAGTTGGTAAACGAGTTTAACCCTGTAGGGTTTGTGCAATTTTCACTAATGCTAATTTACTCCAAAATGCACAAGAAGTAGTTTCAATAGCACTCATCTTTTTTTTATTTTTCTACACCGAGTTTCCTATTTATTCATTCAGTCATATCGGTATCTCATTGGACTATACGGGATTAACTTTAGTTCTCACAACTAAAGAAAATGATTAAATTTTTGCATCCACTCTATTACCTATTAAATAAGTCGTGAAAAAAATAACCTGTCATTTCCGCAGCCACTTGGCAATCGCTCTAAACCCAGGCTTTCCATTCATCATGGTTTCGATACTAGAATTAAGTCAATTGTTTTGTTTAAATTGGTTTCTTATTATGAAGCGTTATGCAGGAAGAGTTAAGAAATCAAAACTATTTGTGAATCACCCTCTGTTAGTTTCATCTTCATAGATAATCCGTTTTCAGTCTTAAGCCAATCAAATAAAATATTTAACCTCCTAGTAGGATCCATTTCTTCAAAATAACGAACCAAACATAAAAAGGACTGTATAGACCATTTTATTGAAAAATTTCAATTAGTTTAAATAAGCTTTCCATAACTTTAAATTAGATTTTGTTTATACAACACGTGTTCACGCAAAAATTCATTAGTCCTGTAGCACTTGTCTTCTCGATTCCGTTAGCGAAGGTCTCTCACCATTGCATTGTTTGACTATGCAGCCTCCCCTTCTTCCGAAGATAGATGTGCATTGGGGTCTGAGTCGGAATCAAACATGCCACCTTTTTGACGAACTGTGTCCTTCATTCGCCTGTTATCAGCGGCTGCTGTCTTCCAAACTTTTTCCAGTTCTTTGTCAACGTTCCTGTGGTACAGATGAAACTAATAAGTACTTCAGTATCAACCGACAAAATGAACTGCTATTGAATGACATGACATAAACAGCATCTGCAGAAAGACTTGACCATATCGCGAGAGAATCCTATATCTCACCTGTTGTCTCCAATCATTAATTCCAACTGGCGTTGTTTTTGTCTGACCACAGCGCGAAGATTATTAATTTCCCCCTCGTACTGCTCTTTAAGTTTGTTGATTTCGGTTTCTTTCTCTCGCAGCCTGTTTGGATTTGGATGGATAACAAAACGTTGTTTTAACAGGTCATTTCTTGGTCTCAGCGCGTATCTATTTGAATAGTTTGGCTGTCTTCCTAGGCTTTTTGTCAGTTCTCACCAGAATTGCTTCTCAGCTGTGCTATAGAACTTCATAAAAAAATCAGTTCAAACAGAAAATTTCCTTTTCATATCGTTTTGCTCGGGAGCTTTATCAGCAAATCTCCTCTTTAAACGCTTGTCTGTCCTTTCCTAATTCAGGTCGTAACAAATCACATTTGAGAATTTCCATTTGAAGAACTAAACAACCTGTCACCTACCTTCCCGTTACTATGGCGACTTTATCCGTAGCCTTTCTCCTGTACTCCTGAAACCAATTAAAAAATTAATCACACTAAAATAGAAGTAGGGTGTGTTAGGAGGGAAAGCTTGATTAAGTCGATCGTACTGCGCATGTGCGAGAGTAGTTTTACGGACCTCGTGTTGTAAAATGAGAGCCAGAGTGAGAGAGATGAAGATGTACACATAGGACTTTCTTCGTGTCGAATTAAATTGTTATTGCTCCTGTTGCCCATGCGTAGCGTCGTTATGACATGGTGCAAGATGTGTAGTATTGTTTTTACAAAGATTATTCCTTGAGTAACCACTTAAATATACTCTTCCTAAAGCAAGTTGCTGAATGTATTACCAGATGTTTTTCTATTTTCCGTACCTGGAGTTTTTCCTCGAGTCCTTTGATGTTCTGAGTTCCGGCAAGAATTTTCGAAGCAGCTTTCTGTTGTTCCGCCTTCTGTGTCTTGGCCTGCGATGTATATCCAATTAATAAAATAGCAACATCACGGTATCTGGAAGAATATTTGAAAACGTACATGTACACGGAAAGCACAGTAGTAAACTTACAAATTGTACGTAGTTGTCCCTCTCGGCTGCTGTTTTCTCCGCCTAAGGAAAGAAAATCTCAGTGAAATTCACTGAAAGCATTAAGTCTAGAAAGCGTAACACTCCTTTCCTTTATTTTTTAGCCAGGCCGAAGACCCTTTCCCTATTTCCTCCCAACCCCTGTTTGAATTTTTTTGTTTTTTTGGCCCTATGCCTTCGGATGCGCCACGTTCTCTCACTCATGCTTTTCTCGCTAAAAAGGGAAAAAGAAAAGCAGCAAACGATGCAAAGAGGGTGTGGTCAGGTTGGGACCAGAGGCATCTGGGTAAAGATCGACTAAAATTTAGTAGTAGTCACGCAATTCAGTGACACGTCACACTTACAATGGTTAGAACTTGTGACAGAGTCTCCTGCGCTGTCAGCTCTCGTTCCTGAATGTGCTCTAACTTTCTTTGAAGAAACAGAAACTTCCGCTCCGATTTCCTGTAGATTAATACAGACGACGGTTCTCAGCCTTCTGGCTATAGAAAGAAATTAATCATCAACCCCTATTTTATGTTTTATGCCAGCAACAGACAAACCAAATCGCGCTACTTTCGCGCGTACAGTTTGCGCTGAGCTACAGTTGCAAACTGATTTCTGATTTCAATCAGTCGTCTTCAAAGTGGGGCAGCTACCTGGGTAGGATGGGGGCACGGAGCGCGATGTGTAGGGAGAAAGCGAGAGAGGAAGACGACGTCTTCTCCTCCATTTCCTTCTCATGAGCCCTCTCTTCCCCACTTTGGCGCGCACCTTTTAGAGACGACTGGGAACGAGTCAATTACAAGAATGGAGGACGCCTGTCACATGTGTACCTAATGATGGGTTGGCTCGCCATTGATTTCTCTGTTGCTCAGTTGGTAGAGCACTGAAGCAAGAAATCAGAAGGTTTTGGGGATATCAAGTCCTCTCTGGACATTCAGATTTGTCTTGATCCTACGCTGGTAAAAAATCTTACCAACTTCCTAAAATTAAACTTGTACTCACTGCAGAGACTTCTTGTAAGCATCAAGCTCTCGTTCAAGTTGTGCGCTCTTAGCTTCGCCATCTGCAATCCAACAGTGGAGACTTTCAGATTTAACACACAAATTAGAATCGATTAGAATTATTGACAACTTATGAACATAGCCTGAAGAACAAGGGCTTTTTTGCCTTTTATTTAAAGGGCGAAGGAAAGCATGAGGCGACAGCGTGGAGACCGCGAACAACGAGTCACAGGAGTCATGCACCACTTCTTGCGCGCATGACAAACTTGCGTGAAAAGATGGCGCCTGTTCCGCCAGCCAAAATGCACATGACATATTTTCTATTGTTTTTAAAAATGCATTTACGTACACTACATAAACAACAAATACCTGCAAATTTTATGGCTAAGTTGCTCTTTTCTTTCTGGACTGCCTTTATTTTAACATAAAAAAAGGCACCATACATTAGTAACTTTCAACAATGGCCTTCAAAGCAAAAGCGCAGCAGTACATACAAGATGTTGAGCAATCTGAAGTAAAACTGAGGAAACATTCCTCAAAATTCGAATTTAAGAGCTCCTCGCAGGTAAGAGCACTACTGAACTAGTAGTTGAAAATAGGACCTGAAAAAATTCAGGCCCGTACGGGATTTGAACCCATGACCTCTGCGATACCGGTGCAGCGCTCTACAAACTGAGCTAACAAGCCAACTATTCGTCTCTTCACCGCAGTGCAAATATGTGAATTTCACTTATCTAAAATCATTATTCCTCAAAATTTTTGCGCGAGGGCAGACTTCAACTGCAAGGAGAGTAAGAAAACAAACTTGTCTTAAGTTGGTTTTGTGAAATCTTTTTAGTGCCAAAAGTAATTGTCCGTGTTGCTTCACTAAGCTTTGTGATTGTTCTAGGAAATTCGCGCCATCCTCTCGACTAATCAGATGCAAAGCTAAAACCAATAAAGATGCGGTAACACGCGTTTTCCCGCGCATTAGGAAGTTAGCTTGTTTTCTCTGTGAGTTCTAATTGGGGCCTGGTAAATATTTCGGCTTCTCCTGATTGTCCGTTGTGATAACTTTGGTTTTGGTGATACAAAATTAACTTGAATGCTGCTCTATTATTCCTTGTGATGGGTAAAAAAAAAAGACTCGTGCAAACTTTCCTTCTAACCAAACTATCATTACCCTGTAATTTATATTGACAAACTGTGATGGTTTGTTAATTCACCTGTAACTTCGAATTGTATTCCTCTGTCTCTGATTTCGTTTTCGCCTTCAAGTCTTCAAGTACACTAGAAAAAAGAAAAGCAAGAAAATCAGGTTATTATCCTACGCAGAACGCGCTCAAATTAAGCTGATGAGTAGTAGGCGCAGTAGAGATGAAGGTGCCTTCCCGCTCGTTCATGCCTCCTCCAAGCAATCGTGCCAATATATTTGAGCGTTACGCTGGGTAAGTTGAGAACACGAAGAGAAAACTGTCAACACTGCTGGGTCTTACAACATTTTCCACGTATGTCATTCACCAAATGGTCTCTAAGTACAGTGGTAAAAGCTGTTTCTGGAATTCGCACTTTTCATCGCTGCAATCTTTTGTCACCTTGTAATTTCCAATGCTAGTCAACGGATGCAAAATTTAATTCTACGCATTTCCAGTCAAACTGATGGATGTTTTTTATCGTTTCTTTCTCCATCACATGAAAGACGTGCTGGTAACCTCTTACCTCCTGCATTCATCCATTATTCTAAGATGCTCTTGAATCAACATCTTGTTTTCCTGATCAGCAACCATGGCCTCATGCTGACGCATTAGGTTGTTATGGGCACGACGCATGTCATCTAGCTCCGTTTCAAGGCGCCGCCGAGTTGACTCTTGACTTGAAATCCGTTTGGACAACTTGGAGACTGAAAAGAAAATAGCGACAATATTCACCAATCAAAAACAGACGAAAAGGAAATATCTAAAACACTTGAATCAATGAAGTTAAAAACTTTGTCAGATTAGCGGTACAAAACAACATCGTAAGACCACACCGTGTCTCGAATATGAAAAAAATTATAACATTACCACGCTGGACACGCATCACTGACTTGCGTTTTTTCAGTCCAATGAACGCAAGCACGAAGGGGCGAGCCATGCGCGTGTCACGTGTGTCTCTGCCCCTCACGCGCGAGACTTGTCTTTATTCGCGGGAGAAACAAAAAGATACCGTTTGTTTCGCAAGCTCTAAGTAACCTTTCGCGAACCAGCGTATGAAGCATGCGCCTTTAGCATTGCGTGAGAAAGGAAGGTAAAAGTTAGCGATAGCCACCTTCTAATCCGTGGATTCTCTTCATTTCCTTCATTTTTTTGTCTTGTATTTCTTGTTGTTCCATCAACAGAGCGTTCTCCTCAACCACTAGTTTTGCCTGTTCCTGCAGTTGTTGCCTGCAAGAAAATAGAGTCAAACGCCGCTAAGTCAATCTGTTACAGACCTAACAGAACACTTTGCAGTAGAGTATCACAAAACCAAAACCGAAGAAACCACAACGGCCAATAAAAAAAACAAAGATTGTTGTTTGGAAAACTAAAAGTAAAGGCATGAACACAGTGCTAAACGCGAGAAAACGAGAGTAAGCAAGGTGCGATTGGTTGTCAAAGTGGTTCTGCAATTGATTGGTTAAAACGCTGGCAAGCTCTCTACATTGTAGACTAATGACCAGTCATAGTAAAGTAAAACCAGTGCAATCAATTTGAAATTGCTGGAAAAAATACGGGCAAAACTTTCAGTTCATCACAGGATCAATAAAAAAAATGGTGCTGTCAATACTAACAGTGCTATTTACGATATAAAAAAACAGAGGAAAAAATTTTACAGGAAATCAACCAAAACGAACCAGTTTCACGTGGTTTAGACAGCCAGGAAACGATGAAAAAGTAAAAGTCCTTCATTATCAAAACAAAATATTGACGTCTCTTACCATTCATCCGGCCCCAATGCATCAGGACTGGCCTTACTGATGCTCTGTCATTAACAAATTAAACAAATTTTTATAAGAAACACGGGAAACCAGGTATAGAGGTCGAGATGATGATCAAAATCTAACTTTCTCGCGAACTATGTAGACAAACAAAAATCAAAGTAGTATGAAAAATGAAGCGCTGAAAAGAAACTATGTCCACAGATGGAAAAATTCTTCAACAGTTACAAATATGACAGCATTAGTAAAGTTGTCAGAGAATCTGTGTGTTGCCTGTTGATAGCCACGACTGAGACAAACTGAAGTTACCATATGAAGCTGCTGATTTTCCTTGACAACTTCCATGACTCGAGCCTTAAAAGAGTTCAACTCTTCCTACAAAGATAAATTGCAGCCAAATTACAATCGCAATTAAGAAGAAAACCGAAAAAGGGCAACTGTAAAAGAACAAAGGAAAGAAAGAGCTCTGGGGCCAGCTGTTCGAAGGCCGATAACCACTAACCAAGGCTTAAATTTTGTTCCGGGTTTCTTCATTTCTCTATTCAAGAGCTTTTTTTCAAAGTAATTTTCTCTACTCTTTTCAGAGCATGCAATCATCAAATTTTTAGGCAAAAAGAATTTAACTGAATTTTCTTTAACAGCTGTCAGATCCAAAATCAAATTTCACACTAACCATGAGTTTTCTTGACCCAGCTTTGAACATACCCAGCCCGGCCTGTTGTAGGAGAGAATTCCCAATCGACACTTATGGACCAAGCCTATATGCCTTTCACCTGTTTGTTGCTTATCCCGTTTATTCTAAGGAAACTCTATTTTCTTTAATCTTACTGAATAGGATGGCCATCATAAACCGAATTAATAATCGATAACGAAGCTTAAAACGACTTACATCGTAAGTTCTGATCATTTGTTCTTTTTCTCTCAATCGATCGTCGTACGCCAAGAAAAGCGGCGCCAAGAACTTGGTGTTTACCTGAAGAAAAGAGAGGAAATTACAGCTTACATGAAGCATCATTTAATTCATATATTCGTGACCAGATCCCTAAAGTGAAAAAAAAAACAAGCAAATTTGCTCTATTCCAAACTCGTGGTTCAGTAGGTACAGTAGTTGCGCAGATGCACGGATTGGAGCTTCGTCGAAGGATGGATTTCTTCAAGCTTCTTTTTCTGCATTTTCTTCAATTGCAGTTCACCTTTGACGATTATGGGATGGGAAAATATTCAGACTGATTTATTTACTATAATGAAGCTATAAAGAAAATTGAACTGTGAATACTTTGATAATTCAATTCACAACGCCCTTTCTTCATTTGTACAGTTATTGTTATACCTACCAGCCACGGAGCTGCCTCCTTCTTGTACGGCAATGCCATGCCTTCTACCTCCTGGAGAGAACAAAGTACGCGAGTTCCGAAACACAATCACAACCGTTTACTAATAAAAATGTTATTTCTGACGCTTGAGTGACATGGGAACGAATTAGTCAGAAATTAATACTCTGATGGCACGTTGAAGAGGTTCGCGTGGCATCATGGAAGTTTCGGATTATTTAAGCGTTTAGCGAGAAAATTAAGTCATTCTAGCTCGGTCAGTCCTATGTTTGACCACTTTCTTTATTGTATTTGTAGTAATTTTGGTATTCCAACTCCCTGTAAAATATCATTACAATCACTGATTTTTCTTTGTGATTAGCAGTGCCATAAGGTTAGTTTACCCTTTCCTCAAAGTATTGTGCTGCTGCATTAGATGGGGAATACGTTTCCACATAATTTTTGGCCACATCTAAAGAGCGGTTTTTAGTGGTTTCTCGTGTCTGGCGTAGCACAGGTTCTTTTGGTAGAACCCCTAGTTTCAGGGTGCACATGTTAAGATTGCATCAGGATGCGTATACTAGAAGACTGACTGACTCATCCTAAATAAACTCTTCACATTGAATGTCTCGTATGAGTGTAGTTAGAAAGCAATATGTTTGAGTTCAGTACCCGCTCGTTACCTCAAATGACACAGGGCGATATTTTGCTTGGTATCTGCTGAGTTCCACGTTGAGTCTGTGAACTGCAAGAAGAGCAAAATCATACATATCCCTCTAAATTTCTGTTCAACAGCTAATTGCTCAACTGAGAGCGTGCCTGTAGTTTGTAATTTCCACTGATCAGAAAAACAGCACCACGTAAAATGAAAAAGATGAAAAAGAAGGACACCAATGTAAGTAAGTAGAGGTCAAAGAAAGCAAAGAGAAAATAAAATTGGCAACAACTTTACCAGACCTGTATCACGTAAAACTTTCTGTTCTTGATGCAAGTCCTTGATTTGCTTTTGTAGAACTACAGAAGAGACACCTGGGTAAACAACAAGAAATATTTTTCACTCGTCGTTGTCCACGCATAACACGTATATAACTGCAAAATCAAATACAATCAATAGCCTCTGTTTAGCCCGAAAATAAGTACGGACAGTTCGAGCAAAATTGAGGCTATTGTGTTTATCATCCTTCAGATATTTTGCAACGCGTGTGAAAAAATGTTAACCAACATCTTACTGTTTGCTGCGTGGGATGTTTTCTTTTGAGTGCTCTCCGGTACGGCTTATGAACAAACAAATATTTCCCTTCTTCTGTAACAACCACAAAACGCTCAAATTTTGAACGAAGACTTATATCGTAGTGGACATAAGGTTTGAAAATTGGGGAATATCACTTGGGAATATTCGGCCACGTGATGCGTTTAGACCAATTGCGCGCGAGCAAAAAAATTTGATGGATCTTAAAAAGAGTTCACCCTAACTTAGACGTGTAACCACTTAGTGTAGCAATCAAACCTGTTCCTTTTTGGAGAGAGAGTGAAAGCTGCTTTAAAGCCTTGTTTTCTTCTTGTAACGACGTGTTCAGTTCCATCATAGCCGACTTCTCTGACTCTAGCAGTTCAATTCGTCCTTTAGATAAGCGGTAAACTTCGTCATCTCTCACGACCTGGACTCTGGTTACTTCTGCGTCTGTCTTCGTTATCACTGGTTCAGATTCAGCACTTCTCATTCGGGTTTTCCTTGAGTTTCTTTCCCCTTTTTCCCGCGTTTTCCTCCCGACTCTCTTGCCATGCTTTGGGCTGTCGGCGTCTCCGTCGCTCCATCTTCCTTCTCTATCAACGTGGCGTGAGCTGTCCGCGCTTCGTTGCTTATTTCTGTCTCGTCTTCCTTCTATTTCATCACGATACGACAAGTTCGAGCTTTGACTAGCACTCTGAAGCGCATGCCTGACATCGTCAAATTGAGGAGAATCGTCCGTTGCTCGGTTACTTTTTCTCCCTTTTTTATCTTGGTACGAACTTGCAACATTACCCTGGGTGTTTCTTTCGTCCAGTCTCTTCTCACCGTAACCATGATCATCTCCTCTGTCTAGTCGTTCCCTTCTTTTTCTATCCGACGGTTCAACACTCACAGCATTAAGTCTTTTCTTCCACTGCTCTTCAGACTCCACGTGTTTTCGTCGCATTTCCTCGAGTTCCTGCTCCAGTTGCATCCTCCTTGTTTCCTGTTCTTTAATTTTTCCTTGAAGCATTTCTTGGTTTTGTTCTAGAGCCTAAAAAATCCCCGATATGGTGTGTAAGTGAAAAGAAAAAAAAAATGCACCTAAAATACCAGAGGGACCATCTTGCTAAAGCTTGCCCCACTGTAAGTAGTATGAACCGGCTCGGTGTAAACTGTCCCACCCCACCCCCGGAAAGGGATCATCAACCATGAAATTTTTACATCGACATTCTAAACTTTATTTGTGCAACGTGTTCATATTGATATGAAGCTTCCATTAATCATTCGAACCTTTCTTTCATGTGTAAAGCTGTTACTCTGTTCTTCAAGTCTTCGTTGCTGCAACTGATGCAGTCTCTGTAATTCGCTTTCCTGACGCCGTTGCTCATTCAGGAGATTGACAATCTGTTGTTCTTGTTGCTTGATCTCAGCCAGATCTTCACCGGCTGGACTAAGAAGGCTGACACTGGATTGAAGCTGCCTTTGCTGTTCCTCTGGTAAAAAATCATTCGAGGAAAAATGGTGATTAAGTTAATTGTTAATTCAAGGAATATTATAGCCGTTCGTTCTCACATATTTTAAATAAAATTTGATTGATTCACACATAAACTATTTTTTCGTCTTCTTTACATAAATTGGTCTATGATAATCTAAGGGAAGAGTTTTACCTTCTCACCAAACTTACAGTCATGTTCATTCTCTTAACAAACAACATGTGCATAGTGTAGTTAAAAATATTTCATGGTTTAAAAAATTTCAATCGGGTTAATTTTGTCTATTTTTTGGTCATGTTTCATCATAATCCAAGACTAGGGAATACTGAAATGAAACTAGTTTAAAGCATTGTGAGCTAAGGAAATATTTGAGTCAAAAAACATCTATTTACATGTTTACCGGTATGTAAAACTGATGACAGGCGATATTTCAAACTTCAAATGGAATCAAACAGAGTATGTCACACCTAACTGTCCGATCTGTTCACACAACTTCTCCTGTTGCTCAAGAGCTCTAGCTTGCTGATTTTGAGAATGCTGCAATTGTTCTTGCTGCTTTTGAAGGAATTCTTGTTGCTGCCGCACAAGCTGTCGCTGGAGTCTTACATCAGATTCACTCACAGCTGGTCCTTGCAGTGACAGGTCAGCATTCTGTCAAAATAATAACTAATTCAGTATTTTTGCCTGATTGTAATTACAAACTGAAAGCAATATTACAGTTTATAATATTCACCTTGAATACATAAGATGAGTAATAGGTCTTATTGGAGAAAAACATCCTTCTAAATATAAATTTGTTGAAACATGAACACACACATAAGCTTACCCAGAGGAAAACCCAATTTGGAACTAAAGCATACATGCACCATTTACCGAGCAGCTTGTATCTGTATGTTTGTAATTATTTAATTTTTTCATCAATGATGCAGTCCTCAAGTCCATATCGACACATCTACGTACATACCTCATTAAACTCTTGTTGCATCTTCTCTAATGCCCTAAGCTGTTCTTGTAGTTTCCATTGTTGTCTCACAACTTCCTGCTGTTGTTGCTGTTGGATTTTCTGTTGTTCTAATTGCTCTTGATACAGATTTTGCTGTTGCTCAACAAGTTTTTCCAACTTTTGTTGTCTCTCTAAGAATGATGTTTCATTTGCTTGCCGAGCTTCCTCAAGTCTCTGGATATTAAATGGATCAACAAATCCTTGGCTGTCTTTGCTACTACCCCCAGACTGGTTGGGGCTTGGGTCTCTTTGTCCTTTTACTGGTGCATTGGAGGATCGTTCAGCTTGTCTATGCCTTTCTTGTGCATTAAGGAGATTAACAAACGAGGAAACTTTGTTAGCCTTACCAGCCTGGGTTTTAAAACTAAGATGTTTACCTCGTTGTGCTTGTTCATTTGGAGATTGCAGCTCCTCCTGAAGTTCATAACCATCCAGACCAGAAAATGTTTGACCTAAACTTAGGTTTGCTTCCTCAATTGTTGCTTCAGACACTGGGACATTACTTTCTGTCAAAGTATCATTAAACTGCTCTCGCTCAAATGTTGTTTTTCCATTGAAGTCAATAGTATTCTTGGGCACCACTGGTGTCATATAACTTTCAGAATCTTCAGAGAGATCACTCAGAGCAAGTTTCTGAGACACTCCCTCAAACCCTAACCTCTCCACAACCTTCAGAGCTCTTCTCTGTTCATCCGTGAGCCTGTTCTCAGGTGGATCCCCAGGAATGGGAGGAAGGGGATCACCTGGACCGTCCAACTGATCCAATGCTGACCTCTGTCTACTCCTACGGCGACGTTCAGGAGCCTCTGGGGATGTGTCTTCCAAGTAAGGTGGAATAGGAGGAGGAGCTGCCCCATCTCCTTCCTCACCAGCATCTTCTGATACCTCCTGAATTGTGTCAGGGGTCTGCCGTTTAGTGCTCCCTTTTTTGCTGTGAGATCCTGGTCCATCAACAATATCCTGACCATCATGACTTTCCTCTCTGCTGCCTTTCCTACTGCGTCTTCGTCCACCAAAATCAAGAGAACGTTTTGCTCGTGATCCACTAGTTGTGCTCTCTTCATCATGACTGGTAACATCTGTGAGCTCATCGCTACTATAACTGACCTCACTCAGTGATTCTTTCTATCAGTTAGAGAAAAAGAATACAGGAAAACTAATTTTCTTCAGACTCAACATCTATATGCATATACACGCATGTACTTTAACATTTTAAACCCAGCAAGTGACCTGCATCTAATTTCTCCTTACATTAACACTGCAGAATCATTCAATAAGATCATGAGAATAAAGGAAAAGATCAGGAACAAAGAGCTTTGATTGCTTTACCCTCTAACTCCCAAGATCTAATTGTTTTTACTCCCCTCTCACTACTACACATTTCCTTGTAAATATAGTACAAGGTTTTGGTGTTAGATCAAGGTAACAAATTCTACAGGATAAGTCTGAGTATTCTGATTACCTGTTTGCTGGATAATGTTTGAATACTATAGAGTGAAGTTACATGTAAATCACTTCTGAGAGTTATAGGGTTAAACAATTTTCTCCTTGTCAGTACCAAAGGAAAGAGTATGGATACTGATAACAGGATGTAAAGGAGTGATAAATAGTTTTCCTGTAAGAAAACCTGAAAGCCTCAAGAAAATTTCAAATTAGCACATTTTGCAAGTTAAAAAAATATGCATTTTGGAATGTGGTGTTTTTATTAACTAGAGATAGTTAAAGATGACTACAAAAGAACCTTTGATCAGTTTGTGCTTTGTTACAAGACAACTCAGTGCAGTATTTGAGTCACCTTTGCTGTATTTGTTGCATTGAGCATAAAAATTATAGCAGCAAGTGGGTTTATACCGGCATGTGACGTCATCGCAAAGTTTGAAAAATTCAAAACATTATGCTGCTTGCTGATAAAACCTACTATATTTTTTGAATGTATCATGCAAGAAAATTTAATACTCATCAGGATCGACTCCATCTCGTACCTCTTCTTTGTCTCCATCAACAGATTGTTTGGCTGCACTTTTTTTCCTCTTGTCAACTCTCGAATATACTGGCTGGACGACCTGACCGCTGTCATGATCTAAAACATGGTAGAAATGTTGCGATGGTTCCCCACCGTTTTCGGCTGTTGCTCCTTCCATCTCCTCAGTTACAGCCAATGTACCTTCCTTAGTCATCTTGTGGTATTTTGTAGTCTTGTCAAACTTTTTGCTGCCATGAACGGTTTCATAATCGTCCTCCCAATCTTCCCTAACCTTTTCGTCACGATCATGTTCGTTGCCCTGTCGATCAGCTGATGCGCTGCGTTCATCGCCGTTTTCTCCTGGAACTGAAGGTAACTCCGCCCGTGGTCGTTTCGAAAGATCACCAATTAAAACCCTACCGACGTTTCCTGCTTCGCCTATTGCCTGCTCGAGTGGAGATGGCGATCGACGAGGCCATGTTTGCGATAAACTAGATGATGTTCTTGGTACTGCTGCAAAAATGGCGCTTGGCACAAGAGTAGAGGCGATACGACTCTAAGATCCACAAAAATAAAATCAACCTTTCATAATTATATTCATCTCAGAAGGAAACACAAAAATTTTCGCTTACCAGTCCAGACTGGCTGCCTTTAGATTTTTTAGACTTCGTTTTTTTCTGCTTCTTACTACCAGGCGCCATTTTGAAATTCCAGAATATTTATGGAACCTATGCGTTTGCGCCAGCGTCGTTAGTTCAAATCAGTTGTCATGGAAACGCCACTGAACTTTCCTAAAGCAATATTTGATAGCTTGCTTCGTAGCCTATATGGCTGGCGATTTTAAGCACCGTTTATGGTTTTTTGTGTGCCAAACGACGAGTGGCAAAAGTGCGAGTCAAAAATAAATTATGAATAACCCGTCTGTCTTCCGTTCAAAGCCTCGCACGGCTTCAGTTGCTCCCTGAAAATGCTTGCAGAAGTCCGAAGGGTATATTTTCGCCTTAAGGAAATTTAACACTTCTCCGAAAATCGGCCGTGAATTTTACGGTGAGATATTCATTGTTCATTTTCACAATAATCTCTTTCTTTCTAGGGTCTGGACGTACATGAAGTCTAATCAATTATCTAAACGAGTGGGACGGTATCTCTTTCATGCCGGACTCTATCATGGAATGTTTAACGTGCTCCACATGTAATCTTCCATGTCCAAATTTTGTAAACTAGAGATTGTAAGTAGAGGCTGGTGTCATCAAAGAAAACAAGAAATGCGTCTGGCGAATATTTTCCCTGCCATAATGATCGATGGACACGATAATGATAGTACCTTTTGAGTCTTTGATGAAACTGATTGTGGGAACTACAGTTTGGTTTCTTTGCTTAGCGTACCAAGCAAGATTATACAATCTGAAGTCAATGATAACAGTATGCGACACGCATTCAAAGAGAGCAGCCTAGTTTCAGATAGACAATGGTCATACCTTGCCCTCGACTTGGGAGAGGTACTTTCGAAAAGCATTTGACAGTGTTTCCCACGATATATTGAAAATGAAACTGAAACGTGACTTTGGCATTACAGGCACGCTCCTTGATTGGATTAGGAGTCATCTAAATGGAAGACAGCAATTTACTGCGATGAATGGACCAACTGAGTCAAATCTGCCACCTGTGTCTTTTGGCATTCCTCGGGGATCGGTGCTAAGACCGACTCTTTTCACACTAATCACAAACGACCTTCCATCCTCTGTCAGCTCAGGATAACTGTGTATGTATGCAGACGATACTACGGTCTACTGTATAGAAATAACTACACACACAGCTACTACGCGGTTAAATGCAGCGTTGCAAGAATTACATGCATGGTGCCTTAGCAACCGTTTAACACCTCAACCAGGCAAGAGTCAGGTTTGTTACTCATTAAAGGAACCCCAATGGAACCGATAGCTTCTGTGCTATTAGGAACCTCAATTCTTACGTGGGTTACGAATGCACACTTGCTGGGCTTGGCAGTTGACAAGAAACTCAGCTGGGTACCACACGTACAAGAAAACAAAAAAGAGCTTTGCTAACAAACTGAACTCGCTAAAACGATCCAGATTTCTCCCATGGGATGTGTTGAAATAATTTTTTTTTAAAGTAATTTTGACTTCTGTTAATATGGTTTAGTTCTGTGGAGACCTTGCAGTAATTCTGATATATTCGGTTCAATAGAAAGACTACACTACGGGGCAGCAAGAATTATATTTGATCTACCTAAAGCTGATGACATCATCCGACGTGAGTAGATACGACTAGTGGCCTACACTTTCTTTGTATTATAAATTAGACATCTTCAAGTTTTTTCTACGAAGGCTATAACTATAATGCCATTCTCCCCGACTCACTGTCTGAAAACATCCTTAAATGTTGCTCAAATGGTTACTCCCTGAGGGGACGCGACCTTTTAACAGTACCCAGGTTCCAAACAAGATATATGAAAGACTCGCTTAAATATCGCGGCGCTGTGTTATGGTACACTGTTTCCTATTGTGAACAAGAAGTTGGACGTTCGAGTCTCAATAATATGAAAAAAGGCCTACTCACCAGAGACTACTTTGAGGAATTCAAATTTTACATACTTTCCGCTTCTACTGCTCGCCTTGTATCGACTTATACATACCGATTTTGCTTTTACTTAGAAGTTGTAATATACATAATTTTCTATTTTCAAATTCAAGTTATATTTACATAACGTGTGTGTTTCCTTTTTCCTTCACACGACCCCAAGAGCTTGTAGCATAAAATGTTATCGTGTATAAATAAAGGTCATCTATCTATCTATCTATCTATCTATCTATCTATCTATCTATCTATCTATCTGTCTGTCTATCTATCTATTTGTATGTATGTCTATCTATCTGTCTATCTGTCTATCTATCTATCTGTCTGTCTGTCTGTCTATCTATCTATCTATTTGTATGTCTGTCTATTTGTCTATCTGTCTATCTATCTATCTATCTGTCTGTCTGTCTGTCTGTCTATCTATCTATCTATCTATCTATCTATCTGTCTGTCTGTCTGTCTGTCTGTCTGTCTGTCTGTCTATCTATCTATCTATCTATCTATCTATCTGTCTATTTATCTGAGATACCGTTCAGTTTTGTCATTTTGCCAAAAGAAGTCAGAACTCTTATATTTTCTCCCTCTGGTCATTGCGTTCTTGAACCAGACCCCAGTTTGAATTCTTCTGGGAATCTCTCCAATTGTTACTGTGATATATTCTTGATGGTATAGTAGCATAACCCGTTGACAGTCCTTTAATTAATTAATGGTAATGGGTGGTCAGGACTCTTATTTACGCGTCGTGAGGATCAAAAGTAGTTTTGTCATTACTGAATTTTAATCGTCCAACAGTTCTTTCTTTTTTAATTGCGAATCTATATGGTTTTCCTGTGGTGTACTTGTTTTAGGCCATTGGTATTTCTTTTTATAAAATAATTCAAATAGTACGCGCGCTCTGATTGGCCATAAAACCATTTTACATGAGCCTATGTAAATACGGTTTTCGTTCCTTTTTCATTAGTTATTTTATAAAAGAAATGTAAAATGGTTTCCGTGTTTACATGGCCTGATGTAAACACGCGGAAGGTTGGGAGAACATTCGATGAGCCATGTAAACACGGAAACCATTTTACATTTCTTCAATGTAACAGCAGTTATTAAGGATAAATTATATAAATAATTTATGACAGTTTAAATTCCTTTATCTCTGGAAAAAAACAATTTTGGTTATCAAAATAAAAAGTCCAGGGTTCAGTCTGGAGTCCAGTCCAGGGTTTAATATGTTACTCTGTCTGAACTTTCAACAGGTTGTTGTTATAGAAATGTAGCTGTGAGTGACAGCTCTGAAAACCACGCTCACCGAGTGAGGAAAGTCTTTTGGTGTCCTAGGGATAGTGAAAATACTTTGAAAACTCAACGATGGAGTTTCCTTTGGAAAATTGGGTTTTCTGACACACAGAACGACATCGCCGTCTACTTTAGTGCTTAGGAAATGGGTTGTGGCTCGAGTAAATCGGAAAACATACCAGATGATGTAAATATTCACTCACAGCCGTCAACGGCTAATGGCGATACTTCCCATTTCCAACCTGTCACTTGCGAAAAAAATTCAGAGAAGCCATCTGTTGATGTCCCTCAAGGTACAAAAGAAAACGGAATCGATGCAAAGTCAGTTGAGCAGCGACACGGCTTTGATGGGACAAAAACTACAACCAAGGCATCTCAGATGACAATTTTGCACTTCAATGATGTCTACAACATCGAGCCACGGGACAGGGAGCCGGTTGGCGGTGCGGCTAGGTTTGCTACCAAAGTAGCAAGTTTTAAACATTTGAACCCATTAATTGCTTTCAGTGGGGACTGTTTAAATCCTTCAACGAGTGAGTATGCTCGTAATTTAGCGTCGCCGTACAATAACTTCAAACAGGGCAGCAGTTCACAAGTAATGGCTCAACAGACCCTTTTAGCTTGCATGTTTTGTTTACCCCGTTTCAGATCATGTGATGATACTTTAGAGAACTGTTTCTTTCAAGTTTCCTCTTATTCACGTGCATATTTACGCATAATTTACAAAAGGTAGAGCAGGGAATCTCCAGAAGACCTGAAATGGGTAAACGAAACATACGAGCTAAGGAGGCCCATTACCAGACAGATGAAGGAAATTGCTCCCCTGTCGTATTGCAAGTACACTGTGTATATAATATAATACCTTGTATAGGTAAAGGAATTGAACAGGGAAATTTGGGGATTGCCATCTGGGACCCTCTGTTTTGGTGAAGACCTGTGTTGCTGTGTTGTGACATATTATTGCTGTGTTGTGACTTATCTTGGTGGTTGGGGGGGGAGGAGTGGGGGGCGAAGTTCTGTTGGCTATGTAATTCTAAAAGTAATGGGGATAGCTACTTCTGGAACTCATAATGATGTGGGTTATTTTAACGATCACTAGACTGCCCTCATAGGAGAGACAAATGTAAAAATTAATGCCTCTCTAACCCTTCTTAGTTTATTGAGAGAATTCAGGGGTCAATTTTATCTTTTTTCCTCACAATTATCAGTGAGCAGTGTGACTGGTGGCAAACAGATGATCCCAATTCTAAATGCATTAAATGTCCATGTTGCTGTATTTGGAAATCATGACTTTGGTAAGTGTTATGTGGGATTGTAGTATTAACTTTAATATTACTTACTTAACCTGCTAGAGGGATTGTAGTATTTTCATGTGTAATTTGTATGCAGTAAATGCAGTTTAAAGGGAGGATAGGCTCACTTTGGAGACACAGTCCTTGCAGGGACCATGTGCTGCTCTCCATGCAGATGCTTTTAATTTTACAGGGAGCATCTGAATCTAAAGTTATGTTCAGCCATTGTACTAGAACTCATTACCTACATGTAATGAATACACAATATCAGTGTACCATTTGTGGACTGCGTTGGTTGATTTTCTTATTTGCCATGCTTTTTCTAGTCAAAATTTTTTTCTGGGTCAAGATATCATTCCTTGAGTTCCCGTTTTTTTTTTTTTTTTCTACAAGAGAATTTATCCTCTGATTGACAAGTCAAGTAGTCAAGCTTTAAAAGAAATATAAGTCTTCCTGGCGGCATTTGTAGTTGGTGACTAGGTTTATTGGCTGCAGCTCTTTTATGCAACATTACTTGGATGAATTTGTCAATTTTTTTTTCAGATTTTGGTGTAGATGAGTTGATGGAGTTTAGTGCTGCTACCAATTGTCCATGGCTTCTTAGCAATGTGATTGACAATGTGACCGGAAAACAGCTGGCTGGTGGTGAAATCAAGTATATTACAGAGTGGGGAGAAAGAAAGGTTGGTGAAGCCTCTTTGGTTTATTTCACTGTTTGATGATATGATCCTGAGTTAGTTTCTTTTTGATGAGAGGGGGTAATTTTTTTAAGATACAATGGTGCTACATCAGTAAGGTGGTACAACTGGATAATTTGGTTTTATCAACTGAGTTGATAATGCAAATTGGCAACTGCAAGGAGTTTCTAAGGCTGCCATTTTGTGAGTTAACCATTATTCTTTTTACAAACCCTTCTTGGTGGCTAGTATACATTTTTACCAAATTTCTTTACATTCAGGTCTATTTTGCTCAACTTTGCTCTGGAATTCATCTCTGTTTTCAACCAGTCAGATGTAATTATTATACTAAAACCAGTTGCACCTTTGTTCCCCACATTTTTCTGTATCTTGGGCAGTTTACTTTTCTCAATATAGGTTCAAAGCCCTCCTTGAGTTATTATTTTCCTAGCTTTGTTCTGATTGGCTGTTGTGATTAACCCATTAATGTTTTGGTTTAGCAAAACTCAGTCAAAATGTGTTTAAATTACAACTCTTGTTTGGTTTAGATTGGTTTTATTGGCTTAGTGGAAGAAGAGTGGCTTGTTACCCTGGCAACAGTTGACAGGGAAGAGGTCACATACTTTGATTTTGTAACAGTGGGTACAAAGTTGGCAAAAGAACTTAGAGAAGAGGTGAGGATTTTCTTTAAAAATTCTTGTGACCAGAGAGACTTCCTTGCCTTTGAAATCCTCAGAATGTAGAGTTGAAGACCATCTTAGTTTCAAGAAAAAGGGTTAGTTTCCTTATATTTCATGGTTGTTGTGACGATGTTGTTGATTGTGGGGTCTACCATTGGAATGTTGCTAATGATGATTAAGAAGAATACTGAAGAAGATCTGACAGGCTTTAACCCTTCACTCCTAAGATCTTATTAATAATTCTCCTTACTTCTATACAATTCTTATGATGTATGTCTGGAGAATTTGGTATTGGATTAACTAATAATCTCTTGCTTGGTATTTTCCTTTTTTCCTCATTACCTGTCTGCTTGATACTATCAAAATATTGTGGGGAGAAATTCTGTCATAGTCACTCCTGGGAGTGAAGGGATGATAGACTGTGTTTTTCTCTGTGAAATATTATCTCCAATTATCATCACTTTTTTATTGTTGGTAAATATTCCTAAATAAATGTCACTTTGGAATAAAATTTCTAGCTGACAGGAAATAATTCTTTCCCTATATAGGGAGCAGAGTTTGTGGTAGCCTTGACTCACATGCGAGGACCAAATGATCGTCGTCTGGCAGAGCAAGCAACTGGCATAGATCTAATTTTGGGTGGTCATGATCATGATTACTTCACTGAGAAGGTTTAACATCTCTTTCCCTTTGTATTTGAGTTTATTATGTACTTATTGACAAATTAAGGGTCCACTTTCAGGCTTTACAAGAGTTAAGTACATCGACTACTGGGAATTACGGTCAACTTGCCGACGGACCAACTCGCCGACGCCAACTCGCCGACGCCAACTCGCCGACGTATAAAATCGAGTAGAGACGTCAGCGAGTTAGTCGTCCATCCAATACAACTTATTAGAAGTTAAACATACAGAAAAGTAAACGATATTTAGTAAAAAAACACTGGTGAACATTGGTGAACATCACCAATGACTATAACAGCTTAAGACGCAAACGAGTTATTGTGCGACAACAACACCGTAAAGACTCATCATGTCAATGGGTCAGATTTTTAAAGAAAACTTGGCTTTCTAGACGAGATCTTTAGTAAAAAGCATTTCTTTTTATTTGCAACAAAGTTTATAAGGATCTCACACAACTCAATGACTCACACAACTCATTGGCGTCTACAGCCAATTTTGTTCATTGGCGATGTTAACTTCGCTTTATTCGCCTTGAGATCCTTATTAACTTTGTTGCAAATAAAAAGAATTGCTTTGTACTAAAGATCTTATCTAGAAAGCCAAGTTTTCTTTAAAAATCTGACTGATTGTCATGATGAGTCTTTACAGTGTTGTTGTCACACAATAACTTGTTCGCGTTTGAAGCTCGCCAACTCGCCGACGTCTCTACTCGATTTTATACGTCGGCGAGTTGGCGTTGGCGAGTTGGTCCGTTGGCGAGTTGACTGGTTACCACTACTGGAAATGACCACATATGGTTTTTTTTTTACCTCCTAGATTAATGGTGTTAATGTCATTAAGAGTGGAACAGACTTCAGAGAATTTAGTATTATTACTGTCACCTTTTTTGATAACAACCACAACAAATGCAACAACAGCAGTAGCAGTGGCAACAACTCTTTTTCAATAGATGTTGAAAGAGTGGAAGTCACAAGTGATATACCAGAAGACACTGAAGTGAAATCCACAGTTGATAAATATGTTGGTAAGCTAATTACATTTTTATTCTTAGAAATGTTCAAACCATCTAGATTTTAGTATTTCAGTGATTTAAAACCATCAGTGTTCCTGAGAGGTGTCTCAGAAGACCAGGCATTAACCTCAAGAGTTTATGTTGCTCTGGTGTCTTCTGAGAAGTTGGTTTCTGCATTCAATTTCAATACTAGTCAGTGCATCACAGTACATTTGAATGGATTCATTGTGTGTATTCTGAAGTTCAAACTGGTGCTGTCAATAATCTTATCAATATTCTTAGCCTAACTGAAAAGAGACATGAGACCTGAGACTTGTTTGCCCTTAATTTGATGCTGTGCTGAAATTATTTTATCTAACAAGGTGAGATGAACAACTTGATGGAAGAAGTGATTGGTGAAGTGCAAGTAGAGCTTGATGGAAGGTTTTCCAGCATGAGAACAAAGGAGACCAACCTGGGTGAGTTGCCTGTTGATGCCTTACTTTTTGGTGAAACTACACGCTTATTCCACCTTCAAACACTTACTTTTAACTTCCTACACAGCTACAGAACTCACTTACCGTTAGATGCTGTATTAACTCATTTAAATGAGGTGATTTTTGGCATTTATGCGAGGGATACTTTTGTTTCCAAATTTTATATTTTCAAATTAAAATCATTATAATGGCAAATCATATGTAAAAATGTTTGTGACACAGAAACTTGTTTTAGATCCAATTATAGCTCCTTGCTTTTGATATAAATTTAAAAGTATGGTGTAGATTATTATATAGAATGTAGTGTAATAAATAATATTTTTGATCAATTGTATTTCACTCACAACACTAGTACTTAACTTACAATCCATGAACTATTCTCCAAGACAATACCTACAATAGATTACCTTCTGTAAATTAAAAAAACAACAAATTAAACTTCTTAGAATGACTAATGACAATGTCTCTTTCTTTTTGCTTTCTGCTGCACCATAGGAAATTTTATAACAGATATCATACAAAATGTTACTGAAGTGGACTGTGTTATTCTTAACTCTGGCACCCTCCGATCAGATTGCATTCATCCCCCTGGAAAGTTCAAAATGAAGGTGCAAATGTTAATATTTTCAAGGATGAAAAATCTTGTTTTACTATCATGTAACATGTGGAGATAGTGAAAGCAATGTTTGTTCTGGAAAAAGCCAACCAAGTACAATTAGGCTAGCTTTTGTGGTGACCATTCAACAATGACAACTGACTTGTATAGGGTGTCAATCATGGGTTTCTATAAGAGCTGGTTGCCGTCATCTGTTTAGCCTGCAAGCAGGCTCTTGTGTTTGGGTTTGCCACCTTAAGACACAGCAGCTTATTTCACCATTAGTAGCTGCTTCACCCTTTATACCCTAACATCAGTTTGCGTAGTCTCCATACTCTCCTTTACACATTTTGTAAGGTATTGAGAGGGAGAATTTGTGTAGAGCCTCTTAAAGTGGGTTGTTATTTCTTTTATTCTCATGGTCTAAATGCTTGATTAAGAGATGATACTGTAAGGAGAAAGTAGGAGCCAATCACTCTCAGGGTTTGAAGGGTTAAGGAAAAAGTCATTGAAACCCCTAGTGTTAATTAGGCCTCAGAGAAATATTTGGTTACCATACACAATTCTGTAGCTAGCTTTTGATGGCTTGAGCTGTTTTTTATTCAGATTTGCAGTTGTTTAGATGTAATTTACCTTTTCCTTAACACCATTCTTTTGTTATTCATTCCTAACCCTTAAACTCCCAAAATCTGATTACTAATTCTCCCTTCTTGCTGTTACACATTTCCTTGTAAATCAGTTCTGAGAATTTGGTGTTAGATCAAGAGAAAAACTCCTAACTGATAAGTTTGAGTTTTCCTATTACTGTTTGCTTGATAATGTATGCATAGTATTGGGAGAAGTGACATGTTAATCACCTTAGTGGGAGTTAAAGGGTTAATAAACACTGTATACCATGTATTTTCCAGGACCTCTCAGCCATCCTTCCTATGCCTGATGTGTTGGTGGTGTTGGAATTGACAGGTATGTCAGCTCTACATAAGTAAAATTGTGATTTTTTTATAATATTGGGTGATTTTCTGATGATGGTAGTCTTGTGAATGATGTTGGCAGAGACAAACTGGTGTTTTGACATTAGCTGAGCTGAAGTTATATTTGATCAAAATCTGTTGCTTTCATTTGATATCATGCATGTGTGTTAGTGAGACAGTTACATGCAAGTATGGATTTATAAAAGAGCCTTTGTTTTAGGTGATCAGATTTTAGAGGCACTAGAAAATGGAGTCAGCCAGTGGCCTAAACTTGAAGGAAGATTTCCTCAGGTTGGTAAAATATATTTTAAGTTTAATACAAAATTTCAGAAGCAATTTAGATCATAGTTTCCACTCTTGATTTTGAAATGGGTGTTGAAAACTGAATCTAAATTTTTGATACATTCATAGATTTTGTCAGTAAGGCTAAATAATAATTCTTACAATAATGTACAAAATATTGCATGAAAAAAGTATCAATTTTGTTTGAATGCAAAAGTGATTGTGGATTACTTTGCTTTGCTCATTAATTGGTCTAGAAATCTTGCAACACCATTTCAACTAATCAAATGTAAAACTAATCAACAGTCCGTTTTACAATTGCCTGTTTGTCTGCCAAGCCTTTGAACAGAAGTGAGGCTAAGGTTGACTTTGTTATGATACAAATGTTGCTGCTTTTCAAATATAAATTACTTTGTTATCATGCCAACTAGATATTGGTCTCTATCACAACATGGTCACCTTCAGCCTCACTCCAAATCAAAGGCTTGGCAACTAAATACACAACTGTAAAATGGCCAATTACCAGCTTGGTCACTCACATTTTCCTGTGCTTCAAGCTGGTTGCCTGTTTTTACTTTGAGCTCTTATCAGTTAATAACCTTTGTTCTGATTAGTAACTGTGAGTACTTTAGTTTTGGTTTTTCAACACACAATTTGAAAGTGCTCTCATTAATTGATGAAATTTTCCTTGCTGATAAATTGTAATGATTTCAAGTCATTGCATTGGGTATAGCCTCGAAAAAGTAATTTGGAACCCATGCAGCTAAGATGTAAATTGGGTGCTTAGCAGTACCTGATTCATCTGTATTTCCAAATATAGTCTTATGGACTGAAGTTATTTTAACACTATTTTTAATTAGTAACTTTAATTTAGAATTGCTATAATTATAGGGCTAACTGATATGCTTAATTATTTTATTTTTTTATGTTGTTAGGTGGCAGGAATAAAATTTTCCTTCAATCCTGACAAAGATCCTGGATGCAGAATACTGGAAGACTCTGTGAGCATCAACAATGAGCCACTTGTCAAAGATAAGGTTTGAACCTCTGAAGAAATGAATTCCTTTGTAAACTGATTTTAGGTTACTATGGTCTTCAACACTTCAGATATGTATGAGGAGTTCTGAGTTCCTATTTCATTTATAAATGTTTCTGAAATTTTGAATGTGACATAGAGATTGGTCTTCAGTGTGACTTGTGGACATGTGGCTTGTTTGGTTGGTAATTCTAGTATTATTGCATTATCCACATTGTTATCACTGTGATAGACTAAGAGCAGAGCCTCCTTTTCAGCAGAGTCTATCATTAGTCCAAAAAAAATCTGTTATAGAAATAAACGATTTTGGTTATTGAACCGTGCAGAAGTCTGGGAATGTGTTGCATTTCGCTCCCAGAGTTCTGCATAACATGCTAACATCAACTTTTCTTTTGCTCTTCCTTGCTCTTCCTTACTCTTCCAAAAGTTCATATTGCATTCTTGCTGAATGACAAAATAAAAGAATGGGTTATTTTAAATCCTTATAGAGATACAAAGTATCTACAAAGTCATATCTTGCAAAGGGCAAAGATGGTTATCAAGTATTTACCAAGGGCAAAGTTCTGGTGAGTTAAATTTGAGAAACCAAACAGTTATATTGAGGGAAAAATTTGAACACAGGGTTGTTACTCTATGATAACTTTAAGTTGCAAGTGTTGTAAGCTTGTCGTTGGCGTTACAGAGAAAGGGAAGTTAATTTAAAACCTGTTTGTAGCCTAATATCATAATCATTTATCTTTATAATGCCACCAGAAGATATGATTTTTTAAAATATTTTGTTGGGGATAAACTATCTGAGGTGGTGGCCAAATGGACATGATTTAACACTTTTACACACAAGATCAAAAAATTGATTCTCTGGACCAGTGTCATACATTTCTTTCTTGGTTGGTCTTGAGAATTTGGTGTCTTATCAGGACCAGAGTTCTTAACCCTCTTACTTCTCATTCTCTTTTGGATTTCCTTTTTTGTAACCTTCATTATTTCCATCTAGGTTGATGAAGAGGATGGTTCAATTTTAAACACAATCGTCAGGAACCATTTTCACTCAATCAACATTGTTAAAGGTGCTACAAAATCAAAATCCTCCCACAGACAAAGTCTAGCTATGTGAGTACTTATCAACACATTTCTGTTCATATTAAAGAGAGGTTGCATGTCAAGAACCCTTGGTCAGGTGAAGAAAATAGTGACAGCTTTAGAAGTTTTGGCATGTAGTATTGTTGAATATTTTTATGAGTTGTGTTGCACCTATTTTGACAAGCCTGTAAGGCAAGTTAATATATAACTTACAACAAGTGAAAATACTCAGCAATACTATGCACTAAAACATCTAAAGAATTATTTATTATCCCAATGTTTTACTTAATGCACAGTTTAAAAACATAGAATAAATCATTTGGATAATAAATAATAGGGTGGGAAAGCAAAGCAGATAAGGAAGCATAGCACATGTAGCTGAGTGGTTAAACAGGTTTTTTTTACAATATGAAATAACCAACCCACCCACTTTGTGATAATTATTCATTTTTAAGCACTCAGGAAATAAAAGATGAAGAGTTTTGCCTGTTAGTCACTAGGTAACCATACCATTACCAACAACTCTCAGCAAAACTCACAGGACACCTAAGAACAAAAGGGTTTAAAATAATCAAATTTAAAAACTATGTACCCATGGGTACCCTCCTCTCCCTTTGCCATGTTGATTAGAATTCTTGAAATACAGCAGAAGATTTGCAGTTGATATCAACTTTACTTAGGAAAGGCAAGGGGGCTTGGAGCACTCTAATGAGATTAATATTTGCAATAGTTTAAGTCTATTTCAAGAAAAGTTTTTCAGCCCTGTAACAAAATGACTTAACCTCTGACAGTGATAATGTTGTCTTAGTTTTATATTAAGTTACTCAACTGAAATAACTGTAACAAATTTAACTTAAACTTGCAATCACAATGTAAGCATTACACTTTTTTAGGGGCGTCAGTGGTCCAGTGGTTAGTGCGCTGGACTCTGGGTCGAAGGGCCCGGGTTCAAGTCCTACCAGGGGCATGTCGCTGCATCCTTAAGCAAGATGCTTTACCCACTTTGCTTTGTCTCTCGGATAAGACGTAAAGCCGGAGGTCCCGTCTCACAACCCTTCTATACAAATAAATTGTGGGACGTAAAAGAACGCACGCACTGTTCGCAAAGAGTAGGGCACGTAGTGCCCGGTGTTGTGGTCTATCTCGATTTGTGCCGTGCCAGAGGCGCCTTTAATATGCTGACGTCCGATCTCACCTCTCTGGTTCCTCCGCAATTCAGCCCTTGGCTGCAAGTGAGGAAATTGGCACCATTCATCTATCTATCTATCTATCTACTTTGCATTGTAACAAATAACATTGCCTTCAAGATCACTCTTGTACAGTAGAGACAACTGTTAACCAAGAACACATAAGATTTCAACAACCTAATTCCTTACTACCTTACTACCCGGTATACAACAAGTGCATGAGTGCTATGCTAAGTAAGCAATATAAGTGAATAAACACAAAACTATTCAAACTAAATTGTGCAGACTCTAGCAAAGAATGTGTGGCATTTTACTAAATAGAGTTCTTTGCATGGAGTTTATCTGGTATTTTAATTACATTGAGTAGACAACAATCACCGGATGAAAATAGTTGGCTTTAAAACTCTTTCTAATGATGATTTAAACCATTTGGTTAAATAATTAAAAATTAAATAACATATGGCTATTAACAATAACAGGCAAAGTAAAGACCCATTAATCAGCAGTGATGAAATGAAAGAAAATGGCTGTGATGCAATTCAACAAGTCAGCTGGTGAGGACAACTGTTAGGGCAGAACCAGGGTAGACAGAAGATTGAAGAAATCATTTGTCTACTCTGGTAACTTTAGCTTAAATTGAAATATGCTATCAATGGCCACCAATAAGTTTCTTACTGAGTCAAAGTCTCTTGGAATCTGTGGATTGGCTCAGATTTGGGCTTCCTTCTGAAAGGTCTTAGTATTACTATAAGAAATAACTTACACAAATAAGAATAAGTCTTGTGCATACATGCACCAACTGTTACAAGCTTTCGTGTACTAATTTTTTGTTGAATAACCATAAATATAAGTTAAAACATCATTTAAAAATCTTTTAACAGGCGATGTAGATCATCTGACATTATTGATGATGGAAATAAAAAATCATCATTTCTTAGTCTGGAAAAAGAGCATATTAGCATTTCACCAAAGGTTGGTGTTGTAATAGCTTACTAGTAAAGTCATCATACAAGCCAAGAAGGCCACATACATCAGTATAGTTTATCCAGCTTTCCCTAGCATTAAGCAATTATTAATATTGTTACTTCCTCTGGATGGAAAGCCAGTCCAATGCAGGTTACACACATGCATTTCATCAGATCTCATTTCATCAGAGGCAAATCAAGAGTGAAGAGTCATCCCTAAAGACCCAGCAAAACACATGCAACATTTCATTGAAACATCTTGCAACATTGTTGGATCATGTCTGAGGGGGTTGGCCAAATGTATGCAACATCTTGCTACATCCAAAAATGTTGCAACAAAAATTTGACTATTTTCAAACTTGATTCAACACTGTCAAACATCTTGCAACATGTTGCTACATACAGGGTTGCCAAACTTATGCAACACATCGCATGCAGCAATGTTACAAGATTTTGCTTTGAAATGTTGAGTGTGTTTGACTGGGCCTTAAGAATACAAATCAATGACCTCATGCAGTGCTTATAATATAACCAAAAGATTTTGATTTGCTGTCCAGGGCACCAACTATTAGATCACTGCATCAAGGCTTGTGGCTGTTGCTAATAAATGAAGATTTAGATTTACTTTACCATTCGACTGCATGATTGAATAAGTGAAAGCTGTTGAGGCACCTCTAACAAGATAATACAATTAAATTTCAATGCACTCATTGTTAGGTGGAAGGAAGAATTACAGTGGTCACAGAAGCAGATAAGGAAGCGAGTAGGACTTGCTTTCCAGAAAATGAGACTGTGCCTCTGAGTGAGCAAGTTAAACAAACACAGAGTCAAGATACTTCACAGGGGGTATGTTTGAGAAGCTTCTCCTCTTTATTGTTTTGTGCTGTAGATTGTACTTTGAGTGTTTGTTATGTACATGTCAAACTCATGAGCTCAGGCAGAGGCTTTTAAGAGGGACCGTTACTTTCAAAATTTGGTCAATGGACTCTAAAATCTGATTGTTAGAGATTTTGATGGATTTAGTAGCACATGCAGTCTTGTATCTCATTTCTCAATAACCTCTTTTTTCATGAATTAGAATGAATGCGTAGAGAAAAGTGATTCTTCAGAACAAATAGCAACTCATCTAAATGGATCAGAAGTGGAAAAGACAGATCAAAATGGATCAGAAGTGGAAAATAGCACACAAGTTGAATTGGGAACACACAAGAAACAAAATAAGGATAATGTTGAGTACACTTCAGATGAAATTTTAGCAGTTGAAAAAGAAGTTACTTTACTGGACAATTTAGCGGGCAAACTGAAAAATGATCAGAATGAGGACATCATGAACAGAAACATTAAAAACACAGCTGATAAACAAGTAAAAGAGGTAGAAAAACAACAAGAAGCAGGCAATGAAGATCAGCTTTTGACAGCTGATGTTAAAACTGAAAAACCTGAGCAAAGGATAGATAATTCTTTGCTAAGTTTTTACACTGATTTCTCATGGGCTTTGTCAACCAATTTATGATTGTTTACAGTAACACTCTTTCCCTTTGTGGAAAACACTTCACAACTCACCTCACAATGTACAACAGGACAACTGAGATTAAACTGTATTATTTTTTAAATGCAATTTGCCAAGACTTACAGTTGAAAGTGATTAATTTCATATTTTGTTATAACATCTTTCCAGGGACCAGATATGGCAACAGAGGATGAGTACTGGGATTTGTGGGAGGCAGTAAAAGAAGATGACATTGATGTGGTACGTGGAACAAGCCAATGTTGAATTTTTTTGGCAGAAGATGATAAGTGCTTGAGGTTTCTAATTGTCCTTTCTTGCTGAGTTTTATAGGTGGAAAATCTTCGCCAGGAGAAGAACATTAGATTCACTCGATGTCAGGATAACAAAACCATTCTTCATCTTGGAGCAGAGAGAAATGCAGTCAAGGTATTTGAAATTGAGTTGTGTCAGCATATCTGGGAAAATAATCTGCTCTTTTTCAATTCTGTCTTCAAGCTTAAAGCTTCCCTCTTTATTACCAATGCTGAGCACATCTAAAGGAGAAGTAATTTTTTAAGGTCTTGTGTCACCTTCCAAAAAGCTGTATTCAAGGACTTTTATCATTTCATCTACCCAGTGTGGAGAAAAAGACAATGAAAATGATAAAGACAATATTAATGATACTGAATGATTAAGTTAATCATTAATGATAATTAATGATAATTATGATAATTAATGATAATTAATGATAATTAATGATAATTATGATAATGACAGTGACATTGACATTGGCAATTAGAGTGATAATGATAGTGATAATAATAATGGTGATGAAAATGAAACTTTTTTAAGGTGATCCAGTACTTGCTGACTCATGGAAAAATGGATCCAAATGTCAAAGATGAAATATTACAGGTTTTTTCATTAAGCATTTTTAGTAGATTACTTAGTCCTGAAACAATTTTATCAAATGCATGTCATGCCAGGTCATCAGTTTGAATGATTAGGTATTTTTTATTTAGTAATAAATCTTTATAAAGAAAAGATGGAGAATATTGGTAATTTGTGAAGGAGTCCATAATAATGGGAGTTTATTTCAGTCATTTCTTTATGTGTCTTGTTGGGGGGCTGGTTCTTGTCCACAATGGACAAGCCAGGCGAGAGTCAACTGTACTTCAGTTCTCAATGAACACACAGCTGACACACAAACCAATTGTTTCCTATATTTTCAACAGGGTAGCTTTAAGAAGAAATTCCAGTGATTTGTCTTGTCTATTTAGGGGGTCCCTCTCCATGGTGCAGCAGAATATGGATCAATTGATGCTGCCAGAGTTCTTTTAGAGCATGGAGCAGAGGTAAATCAAGTGAAACTTGCTGGAACTGTTGATAACAGACAATTTGTCCTGAGTAGGTTGTTCATCTTCAGTTGAGCCCTTTGTAAATTGAGAATTATTCTTTTTTTTTTTTAATTTACATGAAATTGAGTTTGATACCCTTATCTTCATCCAGATCAACAAGCAAGACCTAATTGGGAATACAGCATTACATATTGCTTGCGAACATGAACAGGTGAGATGCCAAGAGGGAAGCAAAAGATTGATAGCCAATGAAGTAATGCTACATTCTATAATAGAAAATAACATAAGTTATGGAAACTGTGACCTGATTGGTTGGATGCTTGTTTTGTATTTAAATTATGATGAAAAGTTAGATTTGTATTAATTATGGAGCAGAAAATCAGTTAAGCAGAATCTGATGAAATGTGCTGGTATATTGCTTCATTTTAAAAGGTTAAAATGAGAACATTCCTCATTGATCAAGGTGCTGATAAAACTATAAAAAACTCAGGTATGTAATAAACTTATTTTGATTATATGATTGTTTTTTAAGGAGGAATGCTTTTTAAAAAGTTACACTCAGCATTTTTTGTTGTTCCAACATTGCATACTAAGAATATGATATCATAAAAACACTCTTTTTTATAGACATTTTATCTCTCCAGATGAAAGTATATCTTATGTCATCACTAGTGCATGATAAGGAGACTGGAAAACAACTCCTAGGAAACCCACAGATGTCCCTTTTCCAACTACTGGTCTTCTCATCCTGCAGGTCACTTTACCCTTTTGGTCTTCTCATCTTGTGTGTCTTCTCACCCAGCAGGTCTTCATATCTTGCAGGTCTTCTCAGCCAGTGCATCTTTTCATTCCATGGGTCCTCTCACCTTGCAGGTCTTCTTGTTCCATGGGTCTTCTTGTTCAGCAGGTCTTGTCATCCAGCAGGTCTTCCTATCCTGTAGTTCTTCTCATCCAGTGGGTCTTCTCATTCCATGGGTATCTTTATCCCACCTGTGTTCTCATCTCACATGTCTTCTTATCCAGTAGTTCTTCTCATCCAGCATATCTTCTCATCTCGTAGGTCTTCTCATCCAGTAGGTCTTTTTATTCCTCAGGTCTTCTCAGCCAGTGGGTCTTTTCATTCCTTGGGTCTTTTCATCCTAGGCGTCTTCTCATTCTGTGAGTCTTCTAATCCAGCAAGTATCCTCATTGTGCAGGTTTTCTCATTCTGTGGGTCCTCTAATCTCTTGGGTCTTGTCATTCAATGGGTGTTCTTTATCCTGCAGGTCTTCTCAACAAGCAGGTCTGATCCTGTGCGTGTTCTCATCTTGTGCATCTTCTCATCCTGTGATCACTCTTATCCTGCATATTTTGGTCTACCCTTTCCACAGGTCTTATGATCTATATGCTATAACACAATGCATTTTTTATAGGTGGTTTTTGTCCAGATAGTACTGAGATGATATGCAGTGTTCTTGTATTCCTTTTTTTTTCTTGCAGATGGTGAAACTCCTACTGTTTAGATACAAATTATTAAATATGTATTTTGACATTTGTGTAGATTACTTGTGAAAATTTATGAAAAATCACTCAAGATTCTCTGAGATGCACAGCTAATCAAAATTTGTATTGAGATAAATTAAAAGTTTAGGGCTACTTCTTTAACATTCTTCGTAGGAAAATATAAACAGAAAGGATTTGCCTTTAAGTTGTAGTTAAGTGGTATCCTAGGTTAATGTTTTCCTTCTCTTTTTTTTTTTTTTACCTTAATTAGCTTTCTTAGCTCTCTGTCATTATCTTTCCAGTGATCAGGAAAGTATTTTGAGGGTGCTGGTGTACTAATAAATTATTTCAACTAGCAAGGTGAAAATATTGTTAATTAGTATATACAACACAGGTAAATAGTGCTTTTTGCATGTGCTGATTGGCTAGTTAGGAAGTGATTAGCAAGTACTATTCACCACTAAGCAGCAAAATATACAGAATTGCACATCTAGAGTTAAATCTCCGACCATATTTTGGTATATTGACAGAAGTAAACTTATCTTTTTGGTTTTGTGGCATATACTAAAACAATTATGCACCTTAGTATTGGGAAAGGTGTGGATGCTTACTTACAAATATTTTTGATGTAAAATAATGGAAATTTATATTTATAGTAGTTGTATTTAGGACAAAGATTATCCATTATTTGATTGTAAGATTTTTACTATTTGTTTGAAGGGAGTCTTGAAGAAGTTATTTATTAAATGAGTACTATTTTTTGACATGAAGGAATGTTATTAAGGGCTGTAAACAGTTGAAATTATGAAAGTTTTCTTAATAAATGGTTTCAATAAAGTAATACCTTGAAGGACATAGTGATGTGAATTATACAATATTATATATGACAGAGTGCTTGTACTGAATACTATTGGACACAAATCCCAGTGCAAGAGCAGTATGTGGTGTGAGCAGGGCCTGAAAAGGTCCTGCAAGATGTTAGTCAAAGGAAGAAATAGAAGGGGCGAAAGTCACTGCTAACACATAGTAAAATGCTGATTGATCAAGTGAGGTTAGGCCTGACAGGAGCATTTTTGGCTTTTGATCATGTCACATGTACCTTGCTGGGTTTAATCAATTAGCTACTAGTTCAAGCCAAATATTTATCTCTCCAGCCCATCCACTTAATCAACAATATCTCACATGAAGTCACAAAATCAGTCTAATAATTTGCCTTCAAGCTGCAATGCACTTCATTGTAAATTGGTTTAAAGAATAGTTGTTTCCATATAAAAAATCCATAGAAAAAAATGAACTGTACCATGGAGTTTGGTTTCAAACCAAATCAAAGAAGTGCATTGTACAAGATTAAAGAGAAGGAAAAGTGCATTGTACAACATTGAACTGCCTGAAGAGAAAGAACTATTTTTTTATCACACTGATGTGACTTTGACTTTATTTATATTACAAATTAATATTTTTTCCTACAAACAGGTAACAAGAACAAGCTGTTGTATAAGCTCTATGGTGTATCTTCATAAACATGGAAATTTTTTTGGGAGGGGTGGGGGGGGGGGTGAGGAGGAGGAGGAAGGGGAGAGAGGTACAATAGTTGTGAGTCATTTTACTTTATTGCACCTAAATTTGTTAATTAAAGATCTTCCAATTTGCAAGTGTCAAACATTGTGGCAGTGTGAGGTAGTGCATAAACTGTATTGCAGAAATTGCTAAAACCCTTTAAAGTAACCCTAAGTAACCAGCATCTAATTTCTCCCTACAGTATTATTGGTGAATCATTCATTAAGAACTAGAGAATAAAGAAAATGATTGCTAACCTAAGATGCTTTGATAGTTAAACAAATTGTCCTTGTCAATACCAAAGGTAATGTAGAGAGGAGTATGGAGAATAAGGATTCTGGCTTTAGGGTTTAACCCTTTAACTCCCATGAGTGACCAAGACAGAATTTCTCCTTACAAAATTGATATGATATCAATCAGATAAGTGATAAGAACAAAGAAAAATATCAATTTGGGGTTAATTAGTTGATCCAATGCTAAATTCTCTGAACTAACATAAGAATTGTATGGTTAATAGTAAGGAGAATTACAAATTTGATCTTGAAGTTTAAGGGTTAAATTATCACTCTAACAAAATTACAACTTCACAATATTTATTTTGTAAATTGGTATACATTTCTTTCACTTTCTTGAGACAATCTTCTCTCCAATAATATTATTTAACATCAAAAATTTCAGCATAAAGTACTTTGTTGAATTTTATCAAATAAGCTGGACAATTAATTTTGTGCCATTTCATTTCAGTTTGAGAGATTCCAGATAATAAAAAAATATATTCAAATATTAACGAGCCAAAACTGAAACTGAATGCATAACATCTAATTAACATTACACAAGAATGAAAGGACATTCTCAAATCCTTGTGCATCACTGCCAAAATCTGACAAAGAATTTAGTATATGTAAGCATTTTACAGCAATTTTTTGCAATGCTGACCTAAATCCGTTTGTTTCAAGCTCCTACAGCATGTGCATGCAGCTAATTCTATCATTCTTTGAAGTTGCATCAATGGGTTAGATGTTACACTGTTTCAGTATGACCACTTAGTTTGATGGGAAAAAGGTATTAACTTATTATTAAGGTATTATTGAATGTGACAATTAAATATTCAGAAGTGAGTCTGGATAAGTAAAAATTCCTTATAATTGAGGTTCAGATAATTTAAGTTTGATTTTATTCAATTTTCATAATCATATCCTTTTCAAAGGTGGAAATAAAATTGTATTGGTTTCTAAAGTGTGCTTTCTTAAGAGTGTCTTCTGAAAATCACAATTTTGAATAAATTGCTGCTGTAGTTCTTCCACATGGATGAAAGACATAAAATGTTGTACATTAAAATAATAAAATGCTTTGGTCAACACACAAAATGTATCCAATGTTATTTACAGTATGTTTTTTCGAGTAAACCTCGATTTCCTAATAGAATATTTTGCAAAGAAACACCCAAGTATTAAAATCTTAGCCCAACCTTACAGTTTCTTTTGTTACATTGTTGGCTACATGGAAATGTGTTCAAACAACTTTTGAGGTAGACAAGTCTGTCTTTCGCAATATTTCTCTTGTGAAGTTTGCCTTGAAGCCTTGACTTCAAGAGCACAACCCCAGCTCTCTAGCTCATATCCAAACTGTCCAATGTGTACCATTCACCCAGTGAGTTTTTCTGCACACCATAAATACAATGTTACTCAAAATAGTTAATCATACAGTAACATTAAGATAATAAAGTGAAAAATTGTACCACAATATCATTTCTGTATCTTAAAGTTCCCAGTTGCTTCAGTCAATCAGTTCACTAGTGTCATGATGTTGGATAAGGTTGGCTCTACATTGGAGCTGGAGGCTCCTGTATAAAATGCATGACCATTACTGATGAAGCGCAAAGTAAATAAATAAATTAATGACCCCTTATAAATCGTAGTGAATTAGGAATGAAATACAATAAGAATGTAGATATTAAGGTATATCTAAAAATATACAAAAGCTACTACCCATCAATATTAACTATCAATGATAAGCTTTGCTTTTAACTGTTGTTGAAAACACACTTGAATTTTGAATGGAAGTAGGTTTATGTCTAAGTGTGCAGAGTATCATATGCAACATACCAGCAAATGTGACCATCAAGTGGTGCCAATCAACCATAACCATGAGATATGTTGAACAAGGCTCAGTTGATCAAAGAGCAGATAAAGCTATCCAGAAGATAAGTGTTAGCAAAACATACTGCCCTTTCAACCAGACAGAGATTTATCCAGTGCATAGTGTTATCCTCTCTTTGAACAACAAGGTACACAGATATTTCTTACATATATGTGTATTTTCAGATTCTACAATCAACTGTTGTCTTTTTCATCATTTGAAATGTCCCTTGCAGGTACATAAGTTTTCTGTGTTACAGATATTCTTTTGGGAAACACATTGCAAGAAGTTAAATATGTGTAGCCTTCAGGGCTCAGTTGTATTATGGGCCAAAATTGCTATCCAATGGATAAATCGCTATCCAGTGGAAAAGGGAAAGCAAAATGTATAACATTATTCACCAGATAGAGTTTTATCCAGTGGATAGTGTTATCCAATCTTCAAAACAACTGAGACCAGGTCTGTATCCCCATTGTTCTCTACCATGGAAGGATGTATACTTCAGATTACAATGGATTTTAACATCCTTCAAGTACCCCAGCACAACCACTTGAAATGGACTGTCCAAGCTTTCACTTTGCAAGGAGCGTATCAGTTTGGTTGACCAGTTCCCACCAACAAATTCAACTACACCTGGTTAGATGTCAAACTGAAGACTTGACTGACGAAACAGTAACTGGAATAGCCTTGAGCTCAGTTCTCATACAAACAAATTCACCTATCACAGCCATCAATGCCATACATGTTAAGTTCAACATCCACCAGCTACCTGATGATGGAAAACCATCATAAATACAGCAGTTGACCAAGTGTATAAGATGTGCAGTGGCAGCAAAATCCAGACACTAGAGACAGGAAAAGATCAAGTTCTATCAGCTTGGCTTACAGAGCTGTAATTGGGCCTGGGGGAAAAACACCACAATCAGTTCCATGAGATAAGTGCACCCAGTGATCTTTTTTGTCCTACCAAATTTTGTCCAGCCTTACCAATCTTCAAAAGTGCCATTCTCCTGCCTTGAGGCAGGACAAATTTTACATGTAGCAATAAACTGCAAGGAACCTGCTTCTTTTGAAAACCCTGGGGCAGGGCTTTATCAGAAACTCCTAATATTTCTTCCTTGTAATTTTTTTTTTTTTTTTAAGTTTATGGCATTAAAATTTGAAATACAATGCATATTATACTAATTACATATTGTCTCTGAGTTCTTGAAATACTGGTATTTAAATTTGAAGATAAAAATTCACTTACTTGCTTTGCTCTCCTAACAATAACCCACAATCCACCAGCCCTATGTAAAAATACACTTGGTGGTTGAGATTTGTCCTTGATTCAAATGTTATTTTCCCTTGTTTCCAAACCCATTATGATACATAGTCATACCCAAACAAAGGAAAATAACCGTTACAATTAACCCAGCATTTAACAGGGTATCCAGTTATTTCACACCCACAGATGTTTGGAACTCAGTTAGGTTTGTACAAAAAATCCATGGGTACAAAACGACAGATAAGCTATACAAGTTAAGGATTACTAAAAAATAAATTCCAAATTAAAGTTGAACCCCTATGACTCAAACCCTCAATTCCCTTGGCAATTTGAGTAACCAGGGCTCAACTGTGGGTTTGCACCCTTACAATGACACACTCGGACGAGCAACATCTCAAATAGACTAAACGCCCAAGGGGTCAGAAACCTCGGAAAATTCATACATTGTAAAAACATCAAAAGTTTTGGAATCACTTTACATTCCTAAACCAACATTTGATATTTAAAGAAATTCGAAACAAATTTTCAGAGGAAATTCAGTGAAAATCTCTGACTGAGGGGGGATTTCGTCTACTTAGGTGGTTGCCAGCTGCCGGGCATGAGCGAAAGTGCAGACGCAATCAGGAAATTAGTTAATAAAATACCTCGACAAACGTGTTTCCACTCAAGACATTTTATGGATTGCGGGCAATAACTCAGTATTCAAGGCTTCAACAAACAATTGACACTGGCTGTCATTTTGATTGCGCCTTAATTAATAAATAAATCAAAATTTATTCGACTACAAAAGTGTACTATGTTCATTAGAAATAGACGGAAAAGAAAGTCTATGGTCGGTTACCGTAGAATTGTTTACTGACCCAGTAAGCGTGTTCAGGCAAAAAGCCACCATCGTTATCTTTCCCCTAGAAGAAGTAAATTGAATATCCTGTGGGAAAAGAAGTATTTTTGATTAAAAATATGCTGCTGAAGGACATCTAAGGATGAAGAGGGATAAAAGATGGTATTTACCTCTTCACTAAAAAATTGGTCTAGCGACCGCGAATTTCCCGTCGAAAAGTCAACGAACACAACCCAGAAAGCTAAGAATAAGTAATACACGCATTGAACGGCGACAATTTGCGAAATAATAAGGCACGGATCCCAAACATAACTCCTAAATCCAGCGGCCATGTTCAGTGAGTTGGAAATACTTGACGTGTCGTGACGTCATTTCTGTAATGAGCGGCATAATTTTCCCCTTCTATCTCCCCCAAAGAAGAGGGATCAAACTGATGAAACCCAGTAGTGAGACTAATTTCTTTTGCTTGTTTCAATGTACAGATATTTTGTAGTATGTTGCAAACCAGCAGTGTAGATTGTCCAGTTTGTGGGCGCTCGTTTTCAGCCTCGTTTGTGAACGAACACGTGAATAAGTGTCTGAACAGTCAAGATATTGAATTGCAAAGCAATGGAGGCAGCGGACAACATGAGAAGGGCATGTTAGCAAACAGTCTTCTCAAAGGGAACACTAAATCTCCAGATGCATCAACAGTCAAAAAATCGAAAAATGAAAAGGCTTCCAACAGCTGGTTTGGTAATACTAGTCCTCCGACAAACGCCTTGAAAAGGAGTTCTTCTAATTTGGCGGGAAAAGCAAGTACGGATTCTTCTTCGAAAAGGTTGAAGTTGCACCAAAATGGTCAAGAGACGCAAAATAAAGTAACAGAGGAGCTCCTTTCTCTCCAACACTCTAGTTCACCATCTCTCGGCCAAAAGAAAGGCATAGAACACAACAAGGGGCAAAAATCGAAAAGCAGTCAATTTACTCCATTAGCTGAAAGAATGCGGCCTAAAACATTAGCAGAGTATGTCGGTCAAACCCAGGCTGTTGGAAATAACAGTCTTTTGAGGACTTTACTTGAGGCTGACGAAATTCCATCCATGATCTTTTGGGGACCCCCTGGCTGTGGAAAGGTATTTCAAGAAATATCACAAAAAAGCGTGTTGGAAGGGGGGAAGGGGGGAGGGGAAGAGATGGAACTCCTCTCTAAAATGACAGAAGTGCCCAATTTGCTCTTGAAGAGACAAATTTTTATTAACTAAGACCCCTCTGCACTTTATTAGAGGAGTGCCACCCCCCTTATGAAATCACTGATCTACTCACCCTTCCTTCCCCCCCCCTCCTAGTGAGTGACCATTTGGAAAGGTTGTGAAAAATCCTCACATCATAAATTGTAAATCATCAAACAAGAAAAACAAATAATATCACAGTTAATGCCACAATCTATCAATATGAGCTCGCTAACCTTATAAAAATTTAATTCTCTTTATGCACAAAATAATGGGTAAAATCATATTGGTCATATTAATCCAGTGTATAGAATCTAAGCTGTCCTCTTTTTGGTTAACTTTTGTTATGGAGTTGTCTCAAGGTAATCAGTAAGACTAAAATATTAGGTTTAAACAGTTTCCCCCCCCCCCCTCCCTCCCCAGGGTTGGTGCTTTGGTGGATTTTTTTTATGGCATTTTATATACTTCTTATAGATCACTTTCACCCCTAACAGTGCCATTTGGCAAAAAGTTTCAAAACTTTGGCCTGTTCTAATTTTCAGACCACCTTGGCTCATATTATAGCCAACTCTGCTAGAATCAATGGCAAGGCAAGGTTTGTGCAACTGTCTGCAACCACTAGTGGTATAAATGACGTCAAGGAAGTTGTCAAAGTGGCTCGGAATGAACAGCAAATGTTCAAGCGCAAGACAATTTTGTTTGTGGATGAGATACACAGATTCAATAAGTTACAACAAGTATGTAACTATATTTTGATGTTAGTTTAAACAATCAATACTAGGAATTTTCCTTATTGACTGCTATAGAAAAAGGCTTTGATTGGCTTTATTATTGCTTGAAAGTGACCTTCATTTGCTCCTAAAGAAAGACAGCCCCAAAATACACCATGCAGAGTTGAGTGTCCAATCTTTCAAAGTTTTCACGCAGAGGATGTGCCCCCCCCCCTCCTTTCAGGCCCATCTAATATGCCACTGCAAGTGCCTGTGTCAAATAGAGGGTACTCACCAGATTGTCATGTCAACCTCCATGCCATGTTTTACTTATGTGACAAAAATATTCTTATAAAGTAGGGGGGGGGGGGGTCATGGGCACCCCAGGATCCCCTAGCCAGAGAGTTCCACGTGATTTTATAGTGTATAATGTATAATTATCATGGATACATCTTTTCATATTTAAGGACACATTTCTCCCACATGTTGAAAATGGAACCATTACGTTGATAGGAGCAACTACAGAGAATCCTTCATTCCAGCTTAACAATGCACTTCTAAGTCGCTGTAGAGTTATTGTACTTGAGAAGCTTACTGTAGATCATGTGGAACAAATTCTAAGAAATGCTGTAAACTCTCTTGGCATGCTAGTGGGTTCAAGGGACTCACTTGTAACAAACAAGAGACAAGCCTCATCTGAGTAAGTCATTTAATTACTTGCTACATATATGTAATTACATGGTTAGGTTTCTAATTCAAGAGTAATCCAGTCTTGGCAAAGTAAAACTGAGGATTAAATTGGTAATGGTAATAGGACTGAGTGGAGTTAAATCAGTTTGTAGTCATATGAGTGATAACAAAATTGGACACACACTAAGCAGGAGTCAGATTTGTTTATCACATGTATGATTACAGACCTAATCAAAACTACAACAAAATTCTCAAATGTGATTGGTTATCACCAGACTGATTTGAACACTAATAGGACAGTGTACATGTCATGCTCGTAATTGGACAGTGTAATAGGACAGTTAAAGGGACAGTTAACACATTATGCCCGTGTAAGAGGACAGAACACGTCGTGAGCATGCACTGTTTTCTCACATTTTGCCAAATGAACTGTTGATATTTTCATGAAAATGTATAACTAATGTCTAGCTTCTTTCTCAAATTTTGTCATCATTTTAATTAATTGGTAACAGGACTTTGTGTCATCCAATTCAGTTTGTAATCATACAAGTGATCAACAAATCGGACTCCCACTTTGTGGCCGTCCAATTTTGTTAATCACTTGTATAATTACAGACTGAATTAAATTTCACTCAGTCCTATTACCATCATGAATTGGATGACACAAAGTCTTACAACCAATTAATCATAAAAATTACAGTTTTGGCGAAAAAAGAATAGCCAAGTTATGAAAGAAAGGGAAAATTTGCATTAAAAGACTAATAAAGAGGTTTAAATTGTTTAATGTCACTCTGAGATTGGTTGTGATTGATTGATTGGTTATTGAACTGTCCGATAGCAAACTGTACAATAACAACTTGGCAAGTGAATTAGTGGACAATGGAAGTTTTTTAAACAAATCACAATTGAAGAAATTGTAATTTTTATGATTAAGTATGAAACACAGTTGTTGTACAAATTTAGGGATCTGTTGCTTCCCTAGAAAGGATGTACAATCCTTAGGAGTTTCTCTAGATTGAACACAAACCATTCTAACAAGTACCTCACACATGTCACAGAGCATGTCCTTAAGAATTTTACTCTGTTCTTTTGTATTTATTTTTCTTTGTTACAAAATCATTTTTGTCATTTTTTATTATTTTTCCTGATAGTGGTGACTTGCATGTGGTTATAGAAGAAAATGCTATTAAAACTCTGGCCAACTTGTGTGATGGTGATGCTAGGATTGCCCTCAATGGTCTTCAACTTGCAATACAGTCACAAGTGGCCGCAGTAAAACAAAAACCAAAGAAGCAGGACACATTTTATCCATCATCGCAACAAAACCCTTCACCTAACATAGATGCTGATCCCCATGGAGATGATGAAGAACTAGTTTATATCAATGTATCTCACATCAAAGAAGGTCTTCAAAAGACTCACTTGCTTTACGATAAGAATGGTGAAGAACATTATAACATCATTTCTGCCTTACACAAATCAATAAGGGGGAGTGATGAAAATGCTGCTTTGTACTGGCTGGCAAGAATGCTTGTTGGAGGAGAAGATCCTCTCTATGTTGCCCGCAGATTGGTGAGATTTGCTAGTGAAGATGTTGGTAAGTGAGTGGGTTAATTTTTTGCTGTACCTCAATTTTGTAGGGGTTTTTTTGTTAATTGTTTAATTTTATACCTTTTCAATTTGGAAAGTAGAAAGTGATGTGAATAATAATTTTGACACCCACCTTGCAAGGAGAAAGTATAGTTGATTGTCAATGAACAAGACAGCACCAATTTGCACAATAGCTTCCCACATGGGTAAGCAAGGTCATCAGTAATCCTTCCTGTTAATTTGAGAGTAGCATTCATTAATTTGTCTTTTACATTAACACCACAGACATTCAAAATGCTCAATTACTATTATCACATTTTAACCCTCATCTGTAGGTTTAGCAGACCCACAGGCCTTGAACCAAGCTGTGGCCTCTTATCAAGCCTGCCATTTTATAGGAATGCCAGAGTGTGATGTAAGCTGTGTGTTACGAAATGTTTAACAGTATCATTCTAATCAAGTGTCAAAAAGGAAAAGGAACTGCATTGGTTTCACTTGAGTGTGTTCTTTGATTGGTTTAGAAAATCTGTGTGAAAATCAATCAGATGCAAAACTAAATTTGACTGAAGCATGTAAACAGGCGCTTATAATTAAAGTTTTGGCACAAGACTGTCTTTGCCCGCAGTAAAATATGAGGCCTTGAGCAAGGCAAAGTGTCCAGCACTAATATTAGTGCCAGATCCCCAGAGAAGCTCTCTCTGACTCATCTCAAATCTTCTAGCAGCTAGGCTGAGATATGTACCTCCAGCAGGCAGTTAATGAAGGTCTGCTGGCTGGCTAGTTCAACAGTGTCTTATTTGGGCCCTTGGACCTCCTTTCCCCTGATGGTGATTACATTTATTTACTTTCAATTGAGTTTAAATTGGCCTCGTGTAAGTTTTACCCTTAAGATTGACGGTGTTTTTTTTTTTATGAATTCAATAAACAAGAATTCTACTAGAGAAAGATGTTTTTCATCTTGTCACAAGGGTGAGACACAGGAAAAATTTTGAGTCCCATTAGGAATCGAACCTCAGACATTCAGATTCTACATTCCAATGCTCTACCACTGAGCCTCAGAGATTCTATGGCTAGCAAGATCCATTACAAAGTGCATGGTTTAGTTTGTACTTTAACTTAAAAAATTTCAGGAAAAGGCTGTTTTAGTTGTATAATATGTCAATGATTGCCATTGATGTAATGGACTCTGATTCGCTGCTAAAACAAATAATTATATCCAGAAATTAGTTTCTGTGAAAACTCACCACATTTGGTGTGTTTTGGCCCCTTGAAACTGGTTCCAAATTATGATGATCTTATCGTCACTCATTTGATTAGTAGTTATCAACAACATATTCCTTAATCCTTTACACCCTAACATCAGTATGCATATTCTCCTTACTGTTCTCTATATATTTCTTAGGGTGTTGACAAGGAGAATTTGTGTAAAAATCAAGAGTTTCTTTAGTTGGTGATCATTTCCTTTATTCTTATCACATTAATGTGTGATTCAAGGGTGATATTGTAAGGAGAATTAGAAATCAGTCACTCTGAGAGGAAGAAAGGCTAAGTGGCCACCAATGATGTAATAGCAGGTTGCACAGTGAGTCAAAACCCAAACAAGAGAGTATCCTTACAGACAAAACAGATGATAGTGAGAGTCTTACATGCGCCAGTAGACCACTGGTAACCAGCTTATATTGAAACTCATCATCATTGTCTTCTGTATGATTTAATATTTGATTTTAATGTTATTTTGTAATCCTTACACAGGTTATATTGGCTCAAGCTGTTGTTTACCTTTCAAGAGCTCCAAAATCCATTGAAATATTTAATGCATACGGTGAAGCCAAGAAGTGTGTGCGCAGTTGGGAGGGTCCACAGCCAACAGTACCCTTGCACATCAGAAATGCTCCAACTAAACTGATGAAAAGTTTGGGTTACAGTGCAGGATACAAGTATAATCCCTCATTTGATGGCCCTGTTGATCAGACTTATTTACCTCCAGAAGTGCAAGGTGTTGATTTCTTTACATGGAGCAAAAACAAATCTGGGGGAAATGATGTTTAAGAAATGCGGTGTTCCACATTCCAACATAGCATTTTTTTTCTCAAGGATAGTTACTGGATATTTTGAATAATTTCATGTTGTGTTTTTTAAATAGAGTAAGACAGATAGGAGTCTTCCTCAAGGAATCAAATTGCAAACATTAAGACTTCTGATGTTCTACCATAGAGCTACATTCAAATAATTTTTTTGATTGAGCAGTGTTGAAAGCACTGTGCACCTATAAAGGAGTAGGAAAGATGGTAATTTCTAAGCTTAGTGGTTGAACAAAAAAAGTTAATTCTTCTGTTGTAGGTGTTAGACATGGAAAAAATGTATACTAAGTACATCTCAAGGTATTGTTATATACCTAGACTTACACTAAACAGAACAAGCACTGTGATTGGTTGATTCTTGGTTATGTGCCACTGATGAAATTCAAATGTATCCCGACCAGGATACAATTGCACAGTTGTTGCCTGCGCACAGAATACAACAGTGGGTGATTGCCATATGATCAATTAAGGGAAAGTCTAAATATATAACAAAGCACTTAGTGTATGGTCCCTCATGAAACTAGTTAATTTTGTTTTCCCTTAAGTCTTGATGTTTTCCTCAACTTTATCTCAAGAAACATCAGGCCTTTCGGGAAAACAAAACTAACTGTTTCCCTGGGACTATACATTAAGTGTATAGTATTTTCATTACCTATTTGCAGGACAGTCTACAGGCATTATAGGGAGAAGTTATCTGTTAATCACTTCCAAGAGTTTAAGGGTTAAAAGAATCAAAATAAAAAAATAAATATGAATAAGGGAATGTTGTAATTACCTAAGATAGAAATGATGTTTAAAATATTTTTCGTAACTGTACTTTGTTTTTTTCACGCGAAAATCACTTCGATAACGTTTCGCGAAAAAATATATAAAAAATTGTAGTTTGACAAGTCTTGGTAAACCAATACGATGTAAATTTGCCGAGTCATTGAAATGAACTGAAATGTATCTTCTTGACAAATTACTCACGAATCACGTCTTATTCTTACTGAGCAATAATTTTCGGTGGAAACTAGCTGTTTTTTCCAAGTATTTTGGACCTTAATATCCTAAATGTTGGAGGTCTCTCGAGTACCACTGGTCTCTACTTCTCAAGTTCTCCAAACCTCCCGTGTGCGACCATAATATTCCCGCCAACTATAATAATTAAATAATTGTCCAAGAAGAACAATCCAAAATTTTGGAAATTATTTTCAGACTATAGTTGGTTATAATTATTGGGGATCGCTAGCCCTTCAGATCACCATGTTCTCCCGCCATGCGTTCAAGCGCGCGAAAAGACAATGACTCGGCCAAGTAATGGTAACTACATTGTTCTTCAAAATGGAGGACGATACCATGCGAGGAAGTCCTTGAGTGTTTATCTCTTCCTGTCGCTGGATTCAGGCATATTTTTTTTTTCATTTTATTCTGCCAGCGGTTATTTCCCCGGTCCTCTCAATAATCCAATCAAAATGGTGAGCTTTGCCGATCTGGTCTCTTTGCCTAAGGGTGCTTCGAAGGCGAAGTGGCGAACTCTGTTGTATATTTCGTGACTTTGCATACAAGCACGTCAACAATTCAGTCGTGATTTCAGTATAGTTATTAATTTTTCCTTTTAACATTTGAGACGATATTTTGTTCCCAATGAACGCTTTCTTCGGCCAAATGCCCAGTAAACTTTGCGTGCGTTTAACCCGCTCCGTGGTTGAAACTTTTGATTAAAAATTCCATAATTTCCATTAAACTTTACAGACGACATTCAAGCAACGTCTTGTTCGAAGTTTGGTCAATCACGGTTTAGCTGTTGTGGGCTGCACCACGGTTATAGTCACATATCATTTCTCGACGAGTGGCGACGAGAGATTTTACAGATCCATTGTCATGCCAGTTGTAATGAAGGTTCTTGATGCTGAACGCGCCCATGCATTTGCTGTATGGTTGGCTTCCAAAGGTCTTGTTCCTGTGGACAGAACTGGTGATCCAGAGATCTTGGTAAATGCAAATGTTATTTGAGAAAAAGAAATAGGGTTTGAGGGGGGTAAACTGGCCTGCTTTCTCCACCCTTCTCCCCTACCCCCACTTTCCTCCCCAACCACCCATGTTGCCCATCTTTCCTGAGCAGTTCACCTGTATCCTTTTAAACTCCTGAGGAGAGAGATTCTGGGAGAGTGTCATCAAAGAGCACAACATAATTCACCATTAAGCAAGGGCTCCTAACTTTTTAACACCCAAGATCTCGTTAGTAATTCTCCTCACTGTCTGCCATACAATTCTTATGATGCTAGTTCTAAGAATTTTGATACTGGATCAACTGGGACATCCCCAACCTCATATTTTTCTTTATTCTCATCACCTGTCTGATCGATAATGTAAGGAGGAAATCTGCCTTGGTCACTCACAGGAGTTAAAGGGTTAACAAGATCTTCAAATCTGAAATCCATTACACTTAGGTTGGTGTATCTCTCTTACTTGGGGTATTCAAACAAAAATAGCCTTGAGGGTCAGAGAAAAAGGCTTTGTGAGAACCTTCAATACAGTGGGTATCTATAACCACTATACTGCATAATGATTATATTGCACTGTTGAAACAGGATGAGAGTGTTTCCTTGGGAGGGGGGGGGGTTATTTCTTAACAATAGACTAGTAAGGATGTGCTATTGGGTGGGGTGGTATTTTCTTGACTGGATTGACTATCATGGAGTTTCATTTCCAACAGAGTCACTAGAGTGGGGTCACACATTTTCAGAAATTTTTGGGATAATTGACCATAATGGGAAAAAGGTTCTACCATGCACATACTCAGCAAAAATTGACCCAAGTATCCCACCCTAGGGTCTTTTCCTCCATTCTTAGAATGTACATCTTAGGGATTTTGCTATTTTTTTTAACTTATATTATGTTTTATCACAATTATTTGTGTGAGAACTTGCATGATTGACTTGCAACTTCTTATTTGAATCCAGAGAACCACAGTATTTGGTCTTCCATTTCCCAACCCAATTGGATTGGCAGCAGGCTTTGACAAGCATGGAGAAGCAGTTGATGGATTATTAAAAATTGGATTTGGTTTTGTAGAGATTGGAAGTGTAACCCCATTGCCACAGGCTGGTAATGACAAGCCTAGAGTATTCAGACTTATGGAAGATAAAGCTGTTATTAACAGGTAAGGCCATGGAAAGAAAAACCTATTTTAACTCCCTGGAGCCTGAAAAAAAAAATTATGTAAAGCTTTGTTATGCACATAGAAAAGGTCAGTCTGTATCTCATACTGTTCACATTTATGTTGATACAGCGCAGTTGAACCTCTCTTTTGATGCACTTCTATTCAGGAGATAACTCTGTTTAGGAGATTGATGCTGACTGGTCTTAGCTGAACAAAATGCTCCAGTAATTACCCTTGTCTCCTCTATCCTTATTGAAATTACACCTCCATGTTCCAAGGGTGTCATCTTCATTGGGGCTCTATGGTTTGCTGTCAGAGATTGAGCAATGAATCAGCTGAAATAAGTGTTTAAAAAAGACAATATTATACTTTTTGCTGAACTAAAAATGAAAAGAATCTGTATGAAGAGATGTTCAGGTCTCCTTTTTTCTAACTTATTTCCCACACCTTACTAGAATTGACAACTTTGTTTCATTCTTATTAGATATGGTTTCAACAGTGATGGACATGAGACTGTACGATCACGACTGGAGGAGCAGGTTAAATCTAGGGGGCACCCACCTGGAATCCTTGGAATAAATCTTGGTAAAAATAAAACGTCTAACAATGCCACAGATGACTATGTTAAAGGAGTGCAGTGCTTCAGTGGCTTGGGAGACTATGTGGTTATCAATGTTTCATCTCCAAATACACCAGGCCTGAGATCTCTACAGGGCAGACAAGAATTAGAAAAACTAATTGATAAGGTGAGATGAGTAAGTTACCATATTCACTTGGGTTGTACAATAACTTCTTACTAACCAAGTGTGAGGGCAATACTGTAAGTTATGGGGGAACAGGGACAAAGGTTAGGGAGATAACCTTAGAATTCTGAGCATCTTGTTTTTTGCTTTTAGGTAATTGAGGCTCGCAGTTCGTTGCCTGTAGATGTACAACATCCTGTATTGGTAAAGATTGCTCCAGATCTGACAGAAGTTGACAAAGAAGATATTGCAGCTGTGGTTACAAGGAAACAGGTCTGTTTCGTTTTATTTTGGTCCAGGTGGCTTTGTCCTTTTAAATCATGGAAGTTCGGGGTTTGAGAAATATTTCACTTCAGTAGATAAACTATTAGAATGTGATGATTTCTAGGGTGGAGTTGATGGAATTATAGTGACAAACACAACTGTTGCAAGACCAGAAACATTACAGAGTAGTAACAAGAAAGAAACTGGAGGGCTGAGTGGAAAACCTCTGACTGAAATGTCCACACAGACAGTGTCAGACATGTACAGACTCACAGAAGGTGAGGGTCTGAACTATCATTTTTGGGTTTTACTCTGTCATTGTGTTCAAAGCACAACCCAGAAAAATGAAATCGCAGGTGTTTCTACAAAAGCTGCTGAGCAGTAGTAAGACCTCTCACTGCTGTCTTTTTAGCTTCAAAGCACTCTTTTTAATGCCTAAAATTTTCAAGATTCTCCATTTCAAATTTTTCTTTGAGGAGAATGCCCCAAGAACCTTAGAGGAAAGGGGCCTCATGGCATCTTTTCCAGAACAGCTGCACATTACATCATTGGCAGCTTCTTTTGGCTAAAGTTACTGAAACCCCTGGAATTATGATTAATTTTGTTTGTCCTAGTTATGATTTACACTGTAGCTTTTCTTCTGATGGTACACAACTAAACAGCTCATCATCACCTTCGTTATTCTGTCTACCTATGAATTGCTTGCAGCTGATCCTAACAGAATGCAGGATGGCTGTTGCACATGGACCCAGTAATGACCTGCAGCTTACTATTAAGTTGGGGCTTTTTCTTCAATTCCTGGTGCTACTTTCTTGATTTATGAATATTAAATGGGATCAGGATGGGTAATGGGAAACCTGAAGGTCATGGAATTTTGCTATATCATTTTCAAGGCTTAGAGAGTCATTCAGTTTTAGTGTCAGTATAAAGAAAGACTGAGAAAATGGCTGAAAACATTTTTTTCTTTATTAGAAATTCCTTTGTCTGTGAAAGTTTTAGAATTTTGTAAGTCCAAAAGTGTTCCTGCTAAAGAATGTTAAATCACCTGGTAAGAGTGAAGTTATTCTGACTGGTCTTTCCTATGTACTCCTGATCGTGATTTTCTTAATGTTCTAAAGGCAAAATACCAATTATTGGTGTTGGAGGGATTTCTACAGGTCAAGATGCCTATGACAAAATCAGAGCTGGAGCTTCATTGATTCAGCTATACACAGCCCTTGCTTATGAAGGACCTCCCATTGTGAAGAAAATAAAGAGGGAACTTTCCGAACTCCTGAAGTTAGTTGACATTCTTTTTTTTTTTTTAATGCTTTAACTTTCTGAAGTGATTCACATGTAACTTCTCCCTACAATATCCATGTACTATCCAGCAAACAGGTAATGAGAATACTCAAATGTATCAGGGAGAAGTTGTCATCTTGATCTTGCACCAAATTCTTGGAACTAATTTACAAGGAAATGTGTTGCAGCTAGAGAGGAGAATTAACAATAGGATCTTGGGAGTTAAAGGGTTAATTGATTCCCCTTATAAGAATATGAGTATCATAATGGTAAAATGTACCTCAAAAACTATCACAGGTTTTGTACAGGTCATGGTAAACCCAGAAGGTCATGAAATTCCATGATCTTCCAGACCTGAAAAGTCGTGGAATTTGAGTCTGGGTCATGAAAAAGGAAAAAAAATTATATTTTAAGAGTAGCAAAGAGATGAGTATCCTTTTGATTTGATCATTTCCTATTTATTTTGGGAGCAACATCTCTATAGTAGGTCATGGAAAATATCAAAGAGGTCCTAGACAACATGGAAAGCAGTAGAATTTTAGGATTTTGAAAGAGTAAAACTCTGTATCATCATTGCTATACAGGTTGTAGCATTGCTAAGTACAGTTAGCGGTGAATAAGGAATTCAGGAAACACACATGAAATGTGACTCATATTTTATTGTGAGCCTTATTTTAGATACTCACACTTCAACTTAAGATATTTTGTTTTGTTGATCTCTCCCAGGAAGGATGGTTTCAAGTCAGTTGAAGAAGCTGTTGGTATTGATCACATCAAACCCATATGACCACTGAGATGCAAGAGTGGAAGCTTTCACTTTTTTTTCCCAAAGAGTGTAAAAGCCACTTGCTATTTAATTTGCAAAAATGGAAAGCACACACTATAGGTCCTTTTTTGAATTTCTCAATCAATTTTATATCTAATTCCATGATACAATCTGACCAAGTCATTTTTGAAGTAAAATTAGTGTGACCTTCATTAACATATAATTGTCATCTCAACACACAGCATTCTAACAAACAAGCAACTATGCTGACTACAGCATTAACCCTTTCAGTCATCTACAAAACATTCGTTAACTTATACAATCATGTAGTTCAATGGCACTGTTTGATATGATGAGTGAGGAGCTTAAGTGGTATTTTTGAGAAGAGTATTTAAAATTGGTTCATTTGTATTTGAATAAAACATGTCAAGAGTGTTTTGCAAGAATTAATAATTTTGTCATAATTTCTGTTGTTGTCATTGTTGTTAGACTGCAGGTAGACTTCTGGTTACCTTAGCTCACATCCTGAACACTCCTTTTCATGCCCTTTATAGGGGAGTTGAAATGTGTGTAGAGGTTGCCCTTCAAAGAGCACACTTAAACACAAAGGCATGCTATAAAAGGAGAGGTGCCTGGATCATTTGTAAGTCAACTGTCGTGATGTACAGACCTCTATATTTAAAACAGCTTGAGCTGCAGCCAATCCAAAGCCAGAGAACAGAAGGTTGATTTCTCAAAAGCTCTAATAAGTTATGCATTTTCATCAAAATAGAAGAATTTGTTGAGGTTTGTATCTCCTTTGAATCAAAATCATCTTCATTTGTGGTGTTAAATTTGAAATTCCAAATGGTTTGCTTACCATCACGTAATATTGCCATGGCATAATTTGCATTTGAGCTGAAACCAAGGGGCAGAGCCAAGCTATTTATAGTGCACCTTTGTGTATAAGGACCACTTTTGCCTTTGTTTCATGCATCCACTATTCCTTTGTGGCCAATTTTAAAAAGGAGGGACGATTAAGATTGTGAGAGATGCCTTGACCAGGCAACAAAAATACATCATTTACCTATCCACATTCAGTCAAGAACTTTTGGTGTCAGGTCAAGGAACTATTAAAGGTTATTGATAACAACTTGTAATGAAATAAATTCTTTTCAGTAAAATGGATTCCCGTATTGGATACTACTACTAACAGTCAATAGATGAAGTCATTTGGCTGGCATGGCAAAAATGAGAAAATAGAAATGAAAATGCAAAATACACCAAGACATCTTCAGCATCTTTTTTGGGTTCACACTCCCTTCTCGACGTCAAAGGAAAAAACTGAAGCTCGCTCTACCCCCATACCGGGTTTCAGTGTCACGCATAAACGTCACGCTAAACGTCACACCATTCATCGAGTCCGAGAAGGCCTGGATCACTGACAATATGGCGGCCATTTTGAATGGGAGAGGGCTCTTTGCACGAGCTCGTCGGAAAGGATGCTGGAATGTGGAAGTAAGGAACGTGGCAAACACAACACAGACTGCTTCTCAATATTGTATCAACTTGGTCAGGTAGCATTGTTCAAAAGTTTATCATTTTTGTGCGGTAAACGAGGTAAATGCAGCGCGCAATATACCAGCACAATCACTCGGAATGGTACACTGCTTACATTTAGAACCTTTGCTTGATATTAACATAGGAATCTGGATTATGAGAACTACCTCTGTTTGTTACTACTGCCTAAAATATCTAGAACATCGGTGTTTGCTGTGAGAGCCTTCAATGTAGAACTAGCCAGGGTGAGTGAACCAATATTTTTTTGTATATCCCCTTCACGAACACTTTTTTGATTCAACGGTTCCCTTGGGACAAAACCGTTCCCCCTCCTCCCCCAACCCCCCCCCCCCTTGTGCAACCCCATTTAAAATCCCTAACATTACAGTTGCATCATACCACTCACGTAGAAAAAAAGACCATTGGGAGAAGCTAGGTGTTTATCACTTCTGGTAGTTAAAGGGTTAACTAGCTCTGCCATAGTTTCTTGTAAGATGAGTAAACTAGAATTTATTAAAAATCTCTCCCTCTTGCCATACACCTCTTTCATACTTCCCTCACATTTGACTTTCTGTCACCTGCATTTTGTCACAGAAAACTTCAGATTAACCCTGAAACTCCCATGAGTGACCAAGACAGAATTTCTCCCCATAATCTCAATACAATATCAAGCAGACCAGTGATGAGAATAAAGAAAATATCAATTAAGGGATTATTAGTTGATTCAATGATAAATTCTTCAAACTATATCACAAGAACTGTGTGGCAGACAGTAAGGAGAATTACTAATGAGATGATGGGATTGAAAAGGTTAACAATTAATATGAATGTGCATCTTCTAATATTTTTATAATGTGTTGGGTGTATTAAAAATCAAAGGAAAATTTGAAACAATTTGTACGTTTCTCCAACATTAAGGTCCAGGATTCTGTTAGTGATCCAGTTATTGGAAGGATGAGGCTCCAGTTCTGGAGAGATACACTTGAAGAGACTTTCCAGGTGAAATTATCCACCTCTTCTCAGTACTGTAATCAATAAGGGTTTATTGTGGTAATTAACAATTATTTGCCAAATTGGAAAATTATTGACTATTTCCTGCCAACAGGAAGCTAACACATGTGTATTGTATGGCTTTTTGTGTTGCATTTCAGGGAAATCCCCCTCAGCAGCCGGTAGCTTTGGAACTAGCCAAGGTCAGGCTTTCTTGAATTGCCCTTTTTGCAACAAAACCACTTTTTTAAATTACCCATATCAAGATTATTTTAGCTGATTTTCCATTGGTAGGTGAATGTAAATCATTCAACTTGGAATTGGATTCACACTTAGTTGAACATTTTTTAACTAAAATGTTACTGTAAACCTCTTTCATAGATGACAAGCCTAAAAGGGAGAAATTCCTATTCGTTTGTGTGCCAAAAATTACCCATCCTGGTGTCATAATCAAATTCTCACACGCAAATCAAGAGGGCTTCTTTGCATGCAAATCACAGAATGTTGATAAGGCCCATTATTTATTAACCCTTTACATCCTAACATCAGTATGCATGTTCTCCATACAGTTCTCTATACATTTCCTAATGTGTTGGCAAGGAGAATTTGTTTAACAATCAAGAAGTTCTTCAGTTGATTATCATTTCCTTTATTCTCATGACCTTAATGTTTGATTCATGGATGATTTTGAAAGGAGAAATTAAATGCTAGTCACTCTTAGGGATTAAAGGGTTAAAGGGGTCTAAATGGCATTTGGAACTAATATTAGTCCTGTAAGGTTCTAAAATGCTATTAAGATGCTTGTTTTGTCTCTTTCAGGCTGTCACAAAATACAAGCTGACAAAGCAATGGTTTTCACGTCTCATAGATGCACGAGTAAGCATGTCACATACTCTCTTCCGTCTGGGGATTTTTTTTTGACAGATATTGATTTCCAGCAATTGGAATTTCAATTAATTCTCTCATAACATGACAAATGAGTTGATCCAAGAGTAACAGTTAATAATGTAGTGTGATCATCAGGGTTTAGGTGGTCCTCAAAAGAACTTTTAATCTGGTTTAAAGACATCACCTCAAGACTGTGACAATGACTTCCAAGAAGCTTATCAAAATGTCAGTCACTGCTACCATCATCACTCCATTTAAGGACTTCCTATACCCAGATGATAAGACTTCAATGTCATTTCTTTTGATAGCTACCCTTGATAGATGGACACCTCACTTATAGGAACACTCAATTTAGTCATGCCTTTTGAAAGAATGTTTTTTCTTTTCCTTTCCAACAATATATCTAACTCTTTAAAAGTCTAAAATGGTGTCCTGGCTCAGTAATTTCTATGTAATGACATCGTACTTTATTGGATAGGAGAGAAGCCTTGACAACAGACCTCATGAGACAGCAAATGCTTTGGAGGAACACAGTGAACACGCAGTGTCATCAGTGTTATATCTTATCTTAGAGTGTCTTGGTAACCATCTTTTTTCTTTATAATCCAAACAGATCCACTGAGGGTACTGCGTTCTTGAATACCCCTGGTAACTAAAGCAAAACAAAAGATGATATTGAGAGGGAAATGTTCACACACAGTTTAGAAGTTGAAGCTAAATTCTGAATTACAAACTGCTGCAACAAAGCAGTTGTTGAATTTTATGCACTTTAATATTGTTTGCCTGTAGGGATAAAAGACGTACATGCTGACCACACTGCAAGCCATCTTGGTAAGGCTATCGGTGTGGCAACAGCACTGAGGTCCACACCTTTCCATGGCAGCAAAGGAAAAGTTTACCTACCAAATGACATAATGATAAAGGTGATAAAGAAGTCTCATGTTTTACATTACAAAAATCAAAATTTTAGGTTTTTCTGTGGGGAACTGAAACTTGTCAATGAGAAAATGCTGGAGGGAGTGAAAGGGATTTTCATCTAATTGCAGTACAAGACTAATCAAACTTACTGCAAAACCAGAAAGTCATGGAATTCTACAAGATCACTTAATAGGCCTGGAAAGGTAGCAGAATTTGGGTGTGAGCTGTCTTATCAGCTAATAAATTTAAGAACTACGTAGTTGAGTTGAGTTAAGTAGAGGATCAGACTTAAAGATCAGACTTGAAGGTCTGGTGTTCAAGTCCTAATGAGGAACTCACATTTAATTTCATTGTCCAATACTCATGAAAAAAAAAACATCTTTTCTTAGAGCATTTGTTTTCTCTTATTCACAGCATGGGGTATCACATGAGGATATTATCAGAGGAAGAAAACATCAGCTAGTAAAAGATGTTACTTATGAGCTGGCCAGTTTAGCACACAGCCATCTTTCAAAAGTATGTGTTTAAGTTTCAGTTTTCAAATATTTCATGGAACATCTTATCACCAAATAAATGTTAATTTTTCAATGCTTGTAACCATAGGCACAGTCACTAATGTCTGAAGCCCCCAAACCAGCATCAAGAGCATTTTTGCCAATGGTATGTTTAAAAACTAATTTGGAGGATATTGTTTAGCCAGGGATGGATACAAATTTATTTAATCCATATGGTATTTTTTATTTTATTTTTTTTTTCATCTTCAAGTGTTTTTTAAAAAAAAAACTGTGGTCAGTGGACAAAAAATTAAGTGACAATTGGCCTGTATTTAATGATGAGCAACCAGCTTGGTCAAGATGATGGCTGAGATATATCAACTTATGGTATAGCTCCTATGGTCCATAAGCTTTAATCCTTACACTTCCAAGCTCTCAAGAGTAATTCTCCTTAATGTCTGCAATACAATTGTTGTAATGTTAACTCTGAGCATTTGATATTGGATCAACTAATAATCCCTAATAGGTCATTTTACAGTTGTGTATTTAGTTGCCAAGCCTTTGATTTGGAGTGAGGCTGAAGGTGACTTTGTTGGGATAGATACAGTATCTAGTTAGCATAATAGCAAAGCAATTTATTGATTTAAAGAGCAGCAACGTTTGTTTCATAAAAGATCACCCTTAGCCTTGCTCCTGTTTAAAGGCTTGGCAACAAAGCATGCAACTGTCAAGTGGACCATTTATATTTTTCTTTATTCTCATCACTCATCTGCTTGAGACTGTATTGATATTGCAAGGAGAAATTCTGTCTTGATCACTCATGGAAGTGAAAGGGTTGAGTACCTTGACCCAAATCTTAGTCTGCCTCCCTGCTAAAGTAAACTCTTACAAATCTGTCCATGTCATACAGAAGAGCATGCTCTGAAACACACAAGGCACAAAAATCTATTCCTTTCAGAGTGGAAAAAGATGTCCCAATGCATGATTTATTCTCCAGCATGGCAGGCTTAATTCTTACAATATCGTTACTGCAAGGTGCCAAGGACCTAGTTTGTCATTCACTAATTCTCAATTTCTTGATTTAATAGGTTTCATGCCGAACTTATCTTACACAGATCCAAAAGGTGGACTTTGACATCTTTCATCCAACCCTGAGAGAACGAAATCACTTGTTACCTCTGCTCTTGCTTAAACATGCTTGGATAGGGCTATGAAGTTATGTGAAGTTTTCAGTTAATACCAACAAAGGGAAGAATATGTCATAAAAATGGAGGGCTGAGCCCACAGGCTTGTTTACAAGGAGGCCAGGGATTCTTGTTCAGGGATTCTTGTTCACAAGTGAGGTAAAAAAAAAAATACAATGCTACGATTTCTCAAAACACCGCGCAATAGGTGTAGACATAATTACAGGTGTCATGGAGGGTGATGTGATCAGGGATTATTATGATTCTGCCACAGTGACCATCCCCAGTATTCTCCTCAAGAAGAAGGAATGCTGACAAACTATAGATAGGACAAACTGCCAAGGGATTAGGGATAGATGTATTATTTTGTGAAAAGATATTTAGTATTACAATGTCAATTGAATCCTTTCTCTCTTTTCCTACCTTGTCTTCAATAAATATATACTGGTGGTAAAGAAAGAGGAAAACCTTACAGAACTACAAGGTCCCTCATTATGATTGCAGCTGTGTGAGAGTTTCTCTGCCTGCAAAGAAACACTCGAGTCACAAGACCTGCTCTAAGGTTATTAAACAAAAAGCTGGATACAGAAATTAGGCAAAGTAATTACACAGGTTTAAGTACCTTAACCACTTCTGTAAAGGATCCCTGACAACAATTTATTATATATATACTGAACCACAGGTTGCTTTAGTCTGTATCATATGCACCAAAGTTCAATAAAATTTTGATTGCATTTAGTGAAAAATCATTCAGCTCAAGCTTGTTTATAGCCAGATCAGTGCTACACACCTAAATGGCTGTCTACAGCCTCCAATCCAATAAGAAATGTTGGAGTTACTGCTTTTAAAGTACATTTGTATGTATGATTATCAACTAATGTTTATTAAAATATGTTTCCCCTTTCTTTTAAATAAGAAAATCAAATCTCGCTTTTTGACTGACTTCAATGCAACAGAAACCACCCTATTTAACTCTTTCACTCTCGGAGTGATAATTTCACAAAGTATTGTCACAATTTTATAACACTTGTGAGGAGATACAATCCCAAGGATATTTCCCTCATACCAGTTCTTTTCAAACAGCCTTTCATAGAATGTATGCTTGTATGATGGGAGAATTTGCTGTCTGATTTTGAGGAAGATGATTAAAAAGCATTATTGTTATAGTAAATAGTATTCTGTTTAACTTTTAGCAGACAGAGAGTAAAAAGTCTTGCGCTAAGCACATTTTTTTTGTAGTATTTCCCATTTAAATACAGTGCATCAAACTGAATGTAACTTTGATTAAAAACAAGGCTGTCCAAATTAATTTCCATAAAAAGAATTTTAAAAATTTAAAACACTTGACTGTAAGTCAGGGAATACTGTGTTCCAAGAGGTTGAAACCTGAAACTAGGATAGGTCAATGTGACACTAAGCTTAAAGTGACATGGACAATTCTCTCTATGAGAATTCTGTAGCTTCAAAAGGTCTCTTAAAATCCAACTAGTTTGAATTTATGTCCAAAATTGGGGTGAGAAAATAAATTGTAGTGACTTATTTTGGAAATACTACACAAAAAGCACTTATCACTTTGTAAAAGCCAAACTTGAAATGTTTACTTACTCTCTCCTCAGTAAAATTCATTTAGTAAAACAAATCCTCAACAGATCTGAGCATTGTTGTCTTTTAACGCTTTAACTCCCATATGACCAGAATTTCTCCTTACAATGTCAAGCCAACATCAATACAATATCAAGCACACAAGTGATGAGAATAAAGAAAAATATCAATTAGGGAGATTATTAGTTGATCCAATACCAAATTCTCCAAACTAACATCACAAGAACTATATACCAGATAGTAAGGAGAATTACTAATGAGATCTTGGGGGTTAAAGGGTTAAGTCAACAAGACATATGCAGCTGTGCATATTTGATGGTCCATTCCCTTGCTACTCTGTCAAATTGTTCTCTGTCATTCTCATATAACTGAGCAATGTCAGACTCCATGCATATATGACAATTAGGATCTGTCAGGAGAGACTGTATACTGACTAGGACCTTTGGAATAGTCAATGCAAGACTCCAGTTTTGTCCAAGCATATCCACTCCTATGTCACCATGGTAACTAATGTTTGGATGAAAAATTTTTGTGATGAATCTGGGAATTGGTGGCCTCATTGGATAACTCTTTGGTATTTCCAAGTGAAGGAAGAAAAGGCCTCCTTCATAAGGACAGTTAGGTGGACCCTTTATTGATGCTTGCCAATATGATAAACTGTTGTCTAATGGGCGTGCCCTGATGCCCTCTGGAGGATCCATAAGAATTCCTCTCAGTTCACTTTTCAACCTTTTATTCCTCCATGAGTTTATGAGGTTATCTTCTGGAGAATGCTGCAATAAAATTGATAACAATTTGTGATACATTTCAATGAATGGTCAACAGTAGTCTGTAAAATTTCCTAGATACTGTAATTAATCAGCTATATTTTGCTCAACCTCGTCCAATGGTTGTGCAACTTTTCTAATAATTTTAAGGGAAGAAGATCCTAAATATATTGTCCTCCAATGCTAACACCTGACTGGAGCCTTTCAAATACATCACAAGTCAGGGAAACATGACTAGATGAGAACCTGGTATGATGCTCAATACCAGAGCTTTTCATGTCATCATGCCAAAGGCCTTGCTTAACATAATCAGCCCCTTAATGACAACAAAACTCACCTGAACACATCCCTGTTCAAAACACCTTCTACAAGCAACACTTTGTAACCTGGAATGTTAAAAGAAAGTGATATTATCATTGAAATAACTCTATGAAGGATGAAAATGATAATCAAATAAGTCAAGTGTAGGAAGAGAGTAGATTCCATAATAAATATACATTACTCTTTGTGCAACCAGCTACAGGATTTGTTACTTGTCACTTTAATCATGTGTTTTTGTGATTAGTTAAAGTCATTATCTTAATTTGATATCCAAAGTAAGTTGTGTTCTTTTTTCTACTTCTCCCTGGCATGAAATCATCAGGGTTAAAGTACAAAATCTTTTTTCTGGTTTGTTTTCCTTTTTCCTATATTTTCACAAGCCCTTGCTGCATAGGTCACTTTGCACTCAGCTTCAGTTTTAAAATTCATGTTACTCCTATACCTCTGGTAAAAAAAATTCATACTTAAAAACCTTTTGGTCAAGATGCATCTCATTTCACATCACTTACAGCTTCATGTAGAGTTTCTGCCAGGATTTGACAGAACTCTGTTTGTCACATGGCAACAATGGCCATCTGGTGCGAACATGTTTCTCCCATTCATTATGTTCTCCAGCCAGTTCCTGCCACCATTGACAGACTTGCCCCACCATACATAAAGATATATCATCCAAAAAGGAAAATATTATCAGCAGCACTGGAACAAAAAGGAAAACAGTTTAAAAAGCTTTTCCTTCATTGTTCAAATTATGGATAGCACTTTCCAATGATGTAGCAATCCTGCAGATATATATTGTAATTACAGTTCATGTTAAAATGCTTATCTGCAGTCCATATGATTTGCAACAAATGTTGAAATGATGGGACTCACAAGGAGACAAGTTACACTGATGAGTCTCTACAAGGAGCCACCATGTGTCAATTCCTTCCAAAATAAGCTGCATTTACAGGACAATGACAATACATCCCTAATCTTGTGTTCTTAAAAGAGGGATAGAGATTCTTGTAAAAGGAAAAGAGCTTAGGCTCAACATAACAAATACCACTTAAAAATTGATTTTATATGATTCAATGTTGAAGATTTTCTTTCTGTTTGATGTATGCAAGGCTTTGGGGCAGGTCTCATCTCTTTGCATCCAATTCATGGGATATTCCAATCTTCTTCCCATGACCTGGATAACTAGAGGCTCTGGGAATAAGATTGGACACCCCTGGCATGATCAAATCACCCATTTGCAAACCCTGAGGGGACAACAAGCATCCTTGTCCTTCAAAACAGATGCCCTCTCCTAACAGGTCCTCCTCTAAATCAAAACTATAACAAAATTCTCAATGGTGATCAGTTATCACCAACCCAATTTGAGCACTTTCCTTTTTTCGTGACAATGTACAACCAATGACTAATTTCTTTCTTGAATTTTGTCACAGTTTTGATTAATCAGTAGCAGGACTTTGTATATTCCAATTCTGTTTGTATCATACTCGTGATTAACAAACAGGATTCCCGCTTCACAGTTGTCCCATTTTGTTAATCACCAGTATGATTGCAGACCAAATTAGACTCCACTCAGTCCTAATACTATTATAAAACTTGCAACAACAAGTTATCAATCCCAACAACAGGTTGTTGTATGACAGCTATCCCCTATTCTTAAACGTAGACTAATAATTAAATCCTAGGGTTTCAATAAAGCTGCTTGGGACTTGTAGGTCTTCCGATTATGATTCTACAGTGGTCAACTCAGTTGATAAAACGAAATTATCTTTTAAAGCCCTCACAACAGTTTTCTTTAGAAACTCAGTCCCTTGTGTATCCCACCTAGATGTATAAATGTTAAAAATGTAGCGGTTTTTACTAAAAAAATGAGAAACTTTCACTTAATTTTGCAAAATCAAAGGCAGTAAAACAATGCCTCTTGTGTCGCATAGCACAAAATAATCGCAACAAAAGATATTTAACTCCGCAAAACAAAACAAAACAACTCACTTTCTGGTGGTAACTTTCCAAACAAATCCTCCTCGACAAAGCTCAGCTCATTCGCAAGCCGCTCTGCGATGAAGTTCTGTGGTCTAATATGTTCATAAAGTGATAAATATGGTAGTTTACTTAGTGACATCGAGGAAGGGTTTAAAGGACGTTCGCTGTTTTCCGGTGACAGTTTCGTTTCGTTTTCACTTTCGCACCCACTATCCTCAGGATCTTCCGATTCTGCGCTTCCTCCGGAACTGATTATTGTTTCACTACTATCACATGTTGCTGATTGTGATGATACACTTTCGCAAGAAGCTGCTAAATGTGAGTCCTCAGTTTCTGTTCCGAGCACAAGCGGTGCATTTGGATACAAGAAGTCGTGACAAACAGCGCAGTAAGGTCCAAATTCTGGACTATTATGCTCAAGTTCACACAAGAAACAATTCTCTGAAGTTAGCTTGAAGTCCACAGCTTTTGGTCGATTTCCTTTCTCAGAATGTTCATCCGGCTGGTAACAGGCTGCGGACGACTCTTGCTCTGAAATTGAGAACAGTACTTCTAGATTTACGTCAAGCTCTGTTGAGCCATCCGCCATGTTGTTTTGGAAGGAGGGGAATGGGGAAAATGGAGAGATTTGTGGGAGATTTCGCCTATTTCAGGGGACCGCTTTAAGGAAGAGTTATAAGAAGAAAAAAATTCAGAATGGTTCAGAAGAATTCCTTCAATAAGTGAAAGGGTTCCCTTTGGATTATAAAATCTTTAAATCCCAAAATGATTGATAATTTTTCCCTTTGGCTGCTGCACAATTCCTTGTAAATTTCTTACAAGAATTTGGTGTTTGATCAGGATAACAACTTCGACAAGTTTCAATATTCTCATCACTTGTTTGTGAATAACTTATGGATCTTACAGGGAGAATTAAGTTAATATTCTTATTACCTGTTTGCTGAATAACGTATGGATCTTACAGGGAGAATTGAGTTGCATATCAATCAGATCTGGGAAAAAAGAGTTGAATTCTTTACTCAATTTCACCTGTTTCCCTTTCCAGAAAATTAGCCAATATGTGCTTAAATCAACTTCCTCTCTCACACAACACAACAGAACAGCTCTACGAAAATGTTTTTCCAGTTTATTTATTTTCTATTTATTTATTTATTTATTTATTTAGCATATTACGAGCATTCCCTCTCTACAAGGCTTATATGCTCTTCTTCCACAATCCATCATTAGGTATAGAATAACCCAAACAATATGGCTATATTTACAAGATATCAACTTCTGTTAATTTATAACTACATGAATGGGATGACTTCTATCTTAGATCACCAATTCATAAACCTAAAACACTGATAGTCTAAAGTTTTGGTAACTCAAAGCAGTTCAATTTATTCAGCTGTGCAGTGCAATTTTCTAGCTAACAGATGTCCTTAAAAAGTTTGCTGTCTGTGACTGTGAACTATACTTCAACAAACTGAGTAAAATTACCAAAGATAGTAAAGTGCTATTTATCTCTCAGATGTTTGACCCTCACAGATCAAAGCTGAACACTGAGCAACTTTTTACATGACTATGATGATAAAAACATCCCACCACCACAATTAACAAACCTTTTCAGGACAAACACACTCAAAAAGTCTGGCTCCATGCAAGGTAAATTTACACATTTCAAACATACATTAAAACTAGATGAAATCTCACACTTATTGAATGACTGATAACACTCGTAGTAAATGAAATACTTGAACCTTCATTGACCAATACCAGTTTTCATACGTGATGGAGCTAAATTAGTTGTTGCACTTTTGCAGAGAGTTAAACTATTTAATTTTAATGCATGTCCCTTAGAATACCTTTCCATCGCCCTCTAGGTTAAAAAAAAAGCAACATCTACTACAATTAATCTGTAGTAAGGATTATAATAAGCTTTCCTTTCAAAGAAATTAGAATTTACCTAAAATATTTACAATTTTTCCACTATGTGCTTTATATTCACAAATGTCAATGTAAAACAAGTACCTTTTGGTGAACTGCATGCAGTAACTAGACATATTTCCAAACAAAACTAGAGTGTACTCTTTAAGTTCTTAAAACAGGTAAATATCAAAACCATGCATCTGCACAGCGTTTGTTGCAAACTATTTTATCCATGTACCAAGGCTCTGTTGTATAACAGTCGGATAATGCTACCCTACAGATAAATTGCTTTGCAGCAGATAAGTGATAGCAAAACTTTTAGCATTATCCATCATAGTGGGTTTTATCCAGTGTATAGTGTTGTTATTATGTATATTATGATTTGACCATTGTTATTTGAATTTAATATATTTCACAGGAATTGTTAATTTGACTTATGATTGGTCCAGGTGTTTCTTTTCCTTTTGTTATTCAAACCTTTTTTTTTTCAATTAGCATATATATTTTTTGTTTTTTTCTCTCTGTTGTCTTTTTCGTTTAAGTGGAATAAAAGATGCAAAAGTTGGTTTCAATGGTGTAAAATTATTGATAGCATTATCCAACCTTCACACAACCAGGGCCAGGATAGTACTTAGATTGTTCCTACCTGTAACTAAAGCACATAGGCTGACAAGGCCAAACAACAGTTATCATTGAAAAGGAGGCTACCACCAGAAAAACTGGAGGCAAAACAGACATCATTTAAAGTTGTTTCTTAACAATCACATTAAGCATGTTGACTCTGATCTGTCAGTTTCCTCGTTTTGCGCACTCACTGGGTTGCAAGCATCACACTGTCAATAGGGTAAAATCAACACAACCAAAATTCTCCTCACTTAGAACAATTGCAATACAACATTTTGAGGCATTGGGAAGAAACTTTCAGAATCATATTGTCTAGTACTTTTCTTTTAGACTATTTCATAGGGTTATGCACTAAAAGCAGTTAAATAGTTACATTAAAAGAAAAAACAGTACATTAAAATAACAAACTGCGATCCACTGTGTTAGTAAAAACAAAAAAGGCACCATTTGCTTAAAAACTGTCCAATCCATTGTACAATGCAAATAAAAAACACTTTTAAAACACCTAAAAACTTCTAAATGACTATCTAGCTGTCAAAGGAAATTCTAAATATGGAACAGGGAAACTTACTCTTTATTAGGAGATAGAGAAGATTAGCAGAAACTGCTGGGGATGTAATTGAAAATTTTGTTCAACATCTCTAAGGGTAGTAAAGGGAGAATTCTGATCCTCTTCCATGGAAAAATTTTTAAAAAAATTCCTGCATCTTGTGTTTAAAAGGGAAAACAACAAATCTTTCTTCTTGCACGCAAGTTTCCAGAGAAATCATGAGGTTTACACAAAACGAGAAAAAAAATTAAAGTATCACATCAATTCTTTTTTTTTCTTGGGGGCAAATCATGCTGGTTCCTGAATTTGCAAATCATGCTTGCCTTTGTGTAAAATGATAGTCTGCCATGTTGCCACTTCCAAGCTTTATTGCAGCAGTATGGAGTAGTGTTTGCAAGGCTTCATCCTGTAGATGCAGACAATCTTTAAGCAAATGTATCATAATCTTAGTCTTGTAACTGAGGCGTGTGATCTTGTTGTAATGTAGATAGAGAATACATCTATGCAGGGCAATTTCTTGGGTGAGTGACAAACAAACAGTAGGGTCAAAGCCTAAAAGATCAAATGAAAGATTATTGGGGTATTCATTTATAATAAGCTTAATTATGCAAGCATTTTGATTAATTCTTTCTCATAATCTATGAGAAGACAGATGCATGGATGACATTACCATGGTTGCTTTTTATCACATAAAAAGTAGATTCTATGTTGCCCTATAAATAATGGTAATATGACTGAGAGGAGTCCAATTCGGTCTGTAATCATACGAGTGATTAACAAAATGGGACGACCGCAAAGCAGGAGTCCTATTTGTTAATCAAGAGTATGGTTACTGACAGAATTCGACGACAAGAAATCCTGCTACCAATTAATCATAACCATTTCAATTTCCGAAAAAACAAATACACCTAGAACAAATATCTCCAGTGAAGACAATGTCCTTACTGGTTAAATATACCTACATTTTGGAAATTACCTTATTTCTCTTTGGATAAGAGGTTGTTGCTATGGTTATTGTGATCAATTCTGTGATTGATGGATTTAGCTGAGTGGACCTAGTATGATTGTTTGCTTGAACTGTTCGATTACAGGTGTCCAATTACAGTCAACTGTCCTATTACACTGTCCGATTACAACTGTACAGAATGATTAGTGAAAAATGAAGCAGCTGATGCACCAATCACATTTGAGGAAATTGTAATGGTTATGATTAGACATCAAAATATGGTATGAGCATCAGCAACACACTCAGCTTTACTTTGTATGCTTTTTTGCTCTCACCACCTTGTGACCCTATCTCTGATCTATTACTGAACAAACGCATGGCAATATGGAGTCTTTTTGTTAATATTATTTCAAATCTGCAAATAAAAATTGAGTCACTTCTACACAAAATTAAAATTAAAATTATTCCTAGAGTCACATTCAATAGATGCTGATCAATCCTTTACCACTCTTCTTCTAAGTTTGTGCATTCATCCCTTTTAGATGGTACATGTCACATACACACATTGTTGTCTCCCATTTCATCAAGCAAACTGTTGTTTTTTTTTTAATGAAAAAGTGTAATCATTGGCTAGTTTGTTTCTCAAATTTTGTCATGGTTTTGATTAATGAGTAATAGACTTTGTGTGGTCCAATTCTGTCTCAAATCATACTCCTAATTAACAACTAAGCCTCCCGCTTTACAGTTATCCAATTTTCTTAATCACTTGACAGTTACAGATCAAATTGGACTCCACTTGAAAGCCAGAGAGCCTGTCCGACTGATGCTTTTCATGAACTGGGAAGATCAATTTCCTCATGAACTCTCGTTAACGGACATCCCGGCTCTCGGTTCGTATAAGGGATTATTTCCCGAATCCCGCTCCTCAATTCCCGAGTCCCGTTCATAACAACAATCCCGCATCTCGCTCCCTTCGTACCCTAAATTCCCGGACCCGGCCTTTCAATATCCCGAAAAACCTATTGGGGACCCTCTACAAACCCAAAAGATACTTAATGAATTTCGAGTTAATCCCTATATTGGCATCGTTTAGCATTATGAGACTTTAACGATAAGGTGGGGTAACACCAAGCTCCATTTAGCCTAAACAGAGACCACAAAAAACTTGTTTAGCACGACCCTGAGTACCTACCATTTTTAATTAACCATCCACTGCTCTACACTTGCCAAGAAGGCCTGCCCAGTGCAGAAGAGGTAAGCGATAATTCTTTACGGGATCAGGGATTTCTTCTTCTGTCTTCCAGCCTTTCTTTAGAAAAGATAACGGTTTCTTCAAACTCGTCCATTTTCCCGCGTTTGTCCCTGATATGTGGGCACTCTAAAATCGAAACGAGGAGATCGTGGTATTTGAGGCACGGCTTTCCTTTGATGCAGAACGGTGTGCATATTTTCCGAGCCATTTTGTACAGCAAAATTAAATATGGACGGCACTTTCTGCACCTTCGTTCAGTCAACAGTGTGAAGAGTTCTTCCTTCCGTAAACGGTTATGCCAACGTAA